TAGGACCACAAGTGAGTACTAGATGTACACCGGAAGGTAATTTTTATCATTCCCTCTGTTGAAGCAAACTGTGCCAGACACGCACTTCCGCTTTGACGCTTATAATGGGTTTTTACGTAAAGTACAAAGAAGTACCTCCCTAAAAATTCGTGAAAATGTTTTCAGTACCCTCTCAAGGGTTCAAGCACTTTTGAGCGCGGGTTTCTGTTGTTTTTGAAAAGCCACTCTGAATCGTACCTACCTGCTACCTATTATATTTTTTAGCTGGAGCCTTATAAGACACAATTTTGAACTGACTCCTAATAAAGTACCAGACTTTACCTTTTACATAGGTACACAAAAAATACACAACAATATACATATATACAATAATAAAAATATATTATATATTGTTCTATACAACAAAAAAAAAGGGTTCTAATAATATTAAAAAAAATTTCTACAAAAAAATTTTTCCCCAAAAAAATTTTTTTTTTCGATCACCTTGTACATTATAATGACAGCGATGTATCGATAAAGATCTAAATTGTTTTTATGAACACTGTTTTCCTAAGACCTCATCTTTATTTAACTAAAATAAGTTTTTCATTGTGATTAACATATTCAAATTGCTTCAAATTAATCATGATTATTAGGCACACAATAATCGCAGACTAGTATCATATATTCGCTTCCTGTTTATCTAAGCTTAACTTCCGATATCCGGTTTTTATATTTTATTAGTCACAATTAAATGTATAATAATTTGTCACATTTCGTTTTAGGTTCCCCAAAGATTTGTTGTTTGTGTCTTAATAGAATGTGAAATACTTAAGTCGTATAACACCTCAACAAGATGAACTGTCGACCTACTTTGCCTTTGGATATTTGGAAATCGATAGACTGAAACCGAAACGAGATTAACTTTGGCTTTTTCATCGGTGATAGGTGGTTCGTGACCCATACAGAATTTCGATATTCCGACCAATTAATCTTATGTCCAGATTTCCAGTCGAAGTCGGAAAGTTCGGAAAAAATATTCATGGATTAGAAACATGTTGGAACCGATGAGGATCGAACCGACAACCCGCAAATTAATTATTAGCCATACATTCCTACGATTAGACCCACGAATCCGTCAATATGTATGAAATGAGGTAAACATTATATAATAAATGTGTGTTCATTTCATGTCTCTTAGCGATTTAAATTTGTTACGAGTAATTTATGTTATGTTAAGTAATTTTTGTTTAATTTAAACATGCTCTTGGGTTTTGATATTAAATTATTATCTACTTATTAATTATATTCAGCCACTCGACAACTAAAAGCGTATAGAACAAAGATATTTTATGTGTTTTCTTCCTCGTTCTTTCCACAATTATATTATCGAACCGGAATATATTTTCAAGTGTTTTATCAGCCGACTAAGTGGTCATTGTCAATACCGTTCTTATCTTATAAAAGCTTCGCCGGCTACTTCCTGACCTACAACACCAATACGATAATTGTAAAAGCTAGCGACGAATTCCTTTGAACGTGTTTTCAGCTTACCAGAACACCTGGCTGGCACCTGATAGATAAACAACACGTGTCGTCAAATTTCTGGTTCTTCGTACTGGTAGTATCGGTATTCCGGTTTCCAACAATCAAGTGTCGAATGTACTTCGCACCAAAATTAATCTATCTATACTGATATATAAAACTGACGATTTTGTTTGTATGTTTAAACGCGCTTATGTCAGGAACTACTGGTTCGAATGGAAAAAAGTATTTCGTGTTGGTTAGAGTATTTATCGAGAAAGGGCATATTATAAACAAAGCAGCGGGAACTGTGGACAAACGGGGAAATTATTAATTTTTGTTGGTTTCCCATGCGTATGCTGCAAAAATGGTTATAGATACACAAAAAGTATATTGAAATGAATTCCTCTTTAAAAGATCTATAAAAATGTGCGACAATATAATATGTCTATCTTTTAAAATTAACTTGCAATAAATATAAAGAGGATGCTCAAAATAACTATTCTACGCGGACGAAATCGCTGACACAGCTAGTACATAATATAAAATGCCTTTTACCTATCACGTAAACATAACTTATTATTTGCTTAGATCTAATCTAATTATGAATTAATTCTAAAATAAAAATAATTGATACTAAATTTAATTTTTGCACAGTATTCGACTTAATATATTTTGGCGTATGAATTTATTTGAATGTATCCTCAAATATGAATAAAAAGGCGGAAAGCTAAACCTGGGTAACCCTCCCTCCTCCAAAGTTTTTTAGCTACATAATATCAACAGCAACTAGGAATCGAATCTCGGCACAGCTAAATGCCAAAAATGATCAGTTAACATAACCATTTCATTATTTAATGATTCCAGAGCGGAATTGTGAAATTAAATAGGTATTAGTATAGTAATTAAATAGTTTTTACGTGAATAAATTAGCTATTTATGAGATATTATGTGTATTTATTTTACAGTATTTTCGCAAGGGAAAGTCCCTCGACCCACAGACCATATTATTCGTCCGTAGATAATAGGTATACAACTTGTATATATATTAATGTATGTGAATTGTTGTGGTTGGCTAGTTTTTAACTAATTTTCCTTATAGCCTAGTATTTTACTAATATTGTTTAAAGCTAAGGGGTTACTTTGAACGCGTAATCTCAGGATACTACTTTGAATTGAAAAAAACTATTAATATGACGTTGCGATATTCATCGACAGAACAAAGAGGGATGTGTGGCAAGAAAACGGGGAAAATGTATCTTAGTACAACGGGAAAACCAAAAAAAATATGTATAACGGCACAGTATATATGTCTAACATTTGACGTCGTGAGTAACAGCTTTAATTTATAAAGCTGACGAGGTTGTTCGCAAAAATAAAACAAAAAGTTAGAAATTAACTAAACAATTCCATTCCATCGACGCATAGCACGCCATAGGGTCTAGCACATATATCGAATTGCACACGAGAGGTCCGGGGTTCGAAAGCCTAAAGGAAAAATTATAAATAGGTGCGGTTGAGTAAAGCGCAGAAGTTTAATTAATTACTAACAATCCGTTAAAAAGCCTACACATTATATAAGTACAAAGTACATCGGTTGGCAAAAGTTGTAGTAAATGATACCACTACTTATTAATATGTTTACCAAATGCCATTGTTGCAACCAAAACAGAAATGGTTGACACACGTGGCGGATCACAACTAAGGTCGCTCTATCATGAAATTCTTTCACCATTACATTGCCAATTCTTTTTATTACAAGGTTGTAAACACAATATTTATATTGTGAGTCATTAGACTCATGGATGAAGACGTAGAGTGAAAACGTAATAAAATAGGTTACTTCGTGATAGCACTTACATACTTACAAATTTACATTAGAAAGTACAACAAATGTCGTCTTGAGGTTAGAATAGAATGGTAAATGAAACTGAGATCACATCCCGTGTTTGGTAATATTTAAATTCTGGTAGGCTCGTTGGTGTAATCGTAACAATGTCCCAAACGGGTCGTGTTGTCGATCTTCATTGGATCTAACATTTTTATAATCAATTTGTAATATTTCTGAAACATGATCTAATTAGTCGGGAAATCTGGATATAAAAGTGGGGAAATTTCGATCCGGGCCATGAACCACCGCCCACTAATGAATAGCCGTAAATTTTATTTCGAATATCCAAATCCAAAATAGGAACAGCCTGTTTAGATGTGAACCCCAAAGCGTTTCTGCCCTCCTCTCTCATAAAAAAATGTAAAGGTATTTTCAAAATTAAAAATAATCACATTTTAATTCCCATATCGTATACGGTAAACGTTTTAAAACTTGTGTTTCATGCATTAATATTATATAAAGTTACTATTATTTTAAATGACATACAAAAATAACATAATAAATGAGTAATTGAGTCAGAATCGTAGGGGAAACGGAATTTCAACGCCGTTACGCGTTTAAGCAAGATTGTAATTTAGCTTTGAATGCTTTTGGCAAAACCTTAATCCTTTAATAAACCTGGCGTCCTTGTAATTTGCAATTAATCAGAAACACTGGATCCCTCTAGGTCAACTTCCTTAAAAGCTCGTGTGATGAATTGCGGCCTCGCTATTGATACTTTTGTTAAATAAACAAAATTTACAATGTAGGTATAAGCGCACAATATAAACGGTTATATTTACATCTTAATAATAATGACTAAAATACAAAAATTTTCAGCCCTGTACCGCACTGCGCAATTGAAATAATACACCAAATGTATACTCGTATTTTGCACACAAAGTTGTTGTTAAAAAAGCAAATCCTAGAAATGAAGCTATTGTTTCTCCATAATAAAAAAATTGCTATTTTAATATACATGCAATGTGATAATATTGCAAATACTAATTTGTCAACGTCTCATGAGGCCATCGCGAGTATGACACGCTATGTGCATTGTCTAATAATTATTAAAGTAAATTAAACTACATTATTAATTTTACGCCACTCTGACATAGCATAATGAAATCCTATCAGTTTCGCTAAACACTATTAATAATATTATATAAACATAAAAAGAAGCTCCTTAAATGTGATGACCAATTAATCTAGCGTGGATGACCACACACTGTTTTAAGTTACCCAATCGTACCTACAAGGATATCTTTATTTAACGAATTAAAATTATTTCTAGAATCTCGTAAACGCGTCATTTCGCGGAAGTATTTGCGTTTCTCGTTACGTCGTTTTTTTGAGAAAACTTAATTATTATATATGAATAAGGCTACTTTAAATACATTATAGTACAAAAAAAAAATACAATACCAGGCAGGACTTGAATTGGCATCCACGGCGTTGCGTGCCGTTTGCTCTAATCAACACATGCATCACCCAATCTCACCAGTGAGACCCAATCAAGGGTAATCAAATAAACTACCGTGTTGAATTAGACGACTTTAAAAAATAAAAGAGACATTAAATAATAACTTGTATTTTCAATAACATAATATAATTTGTAAGTCTTCATTTATTTTTTCTTAGTTTTAATTTCCATTCGCTTTTGTTTCTTCAATTCTCTGTAGGCAGCGACTACATCTAACCTCGCTCTCTCTCGTCGGGCCAAATCTGCTGCATTCGCTTGTGAATCCTTCTTGTTGCCAGATAACATTGAGCTCAAAAGAAGATCTTTTCGACCGGGCTGAAAATGTGTGAATAGTTCATATATTATTAGGTAAAACATTTAGTAGCACTATTTTATGTTTTATCCCAGAGTCTATAAAATATTAGGTAAGTGTAACTTTTATCTTGCGTTCAGGGCCATTGTTTTTTATGAGGTTGAAAATGATACACATCTAAAAGTTAATCTAGAAGGATGGTTGCAAATATTTAATTTTCAACAAGACAGTGAAATGAAAATTCAACTCAGTTTTTCTTTCACTTATTACATTATCTTCTACTATAAATTTTATAAATTTTCTAAATGATGTGTATTTTGACAACATGACCTACTCTATTGTAAAAGTTGATATGTTGTTCTAACTGATTGATTTGGTTTAGTCTATATACTAACATTGCTTTTCATATTGTCAGCATATACTTTCAAAATATATTTCTTTTATTTTAAATAAATACTCTTCTAAAACTTAGATAAACATGATAGAAGGTAAATTATTTATGTTTAATCATATAAAGTAATGCAAAGCAGTGTTAATACTTAAAGCATCAAAATTTATTTTTAATTTTCAACCTTCTTTACTTACTCTTGGTGCACCCATTGCAGTTGGATCTTGCCCTCTCATTTTGGGTCTCACTGTGAGATTGGGCGGTGCATGTGTTATATCACCAAAACCAACATGTTCATATACCACTTCTTTAATTTCCTCCTCCTAAAATCAAATTTTTATTTTTCCCATTAGTCTGTTATTCAAAACAAATTAATAGGGATTATTATTTTCTTGCGGGGGGATACCAATAGAAAGCCAGGTGATCAGCCCACATTGGCTGGTGACCATTCCATCCGTTCTGCTTTCCTCCTTGGCATCCTCCGCCGTTTAATAGGGATTCAGGGAATGCTACAAACATGTTAATTTAATACCTATTGCCCATTTTATGGCTTTGTTCTTGTGGTTGTTTGTTACATGAATTTTGTGAAATCTATTAACTCTTTCCTGTGATTCTCCAATGTTACATACTTATTAAAGCATGTTTATATACTAGAACCATATACACAAAATATAACTTACCTCAGCAGCTTTTTCTTTTTTAGCTTTTTTCTTTAGAGCTAATTTTTGTGTGCGAGTCAACTTTGGTTCATCATTAACTTGTTTGCCTTTTTGCTTTCTTTTCCTTCTTTCTCGCTGATCCACCATTCTTTCACCTTTTGCATCTTCTTGATCCAGGTCTTGCTTTAAAGATGTATTCATTAATGGAGTTGTTGAAATTGATGTTGGACACATATTCCATATCTAACAGAGTGCAGTAGTAAACTGCAGTAAAACAGATTATATATGGAGATAAACATATATACATTTTTCCTTCAAGTAATGGACACCACTGTAGTCGGCCTTCTGGGCTGACAAATCCACACATTTTTTTTTATGTTTCAGAACCAGGCCCTCTCAAATTAAATATAGTGCAAGGTTTTAATGTAGAAATTAACTTTGATGGATTTTTTTTTGTTGTAATATGACTACCTCTTTTATTGAGATTTAAAAAACATCTTACCGGGTAGTCATCTTGGTCAATTGGATCATGAAGAGCTCTTATTGCACTGTTTATCCTAAGAGAAAAACCTCTTCCAGATTCACCAGGTAACTTTCTGAGTCGAGAAATGGGATTATCACCAACTCCTTTTTGTATTGTTTCTGAAAATATGATGAATACCTAATTAGGCATTAAATTTGCGTTTTGTTAAAAAGTATTATGACTATTACTATACCTACACTTGAGAATATAACAATTTTTAGTTTCCATATGACAATTATAACTGGAATTATTGTAGCAAAAATCAAGTTTCGAAATGCATTATTTTGAAATGATAGAGATACTACTTACTAAATACAAAAAGATTGGAACCCTGGGGTGAAAATTATACAAACCTAAATTTGTGGGAATGTGTTTCTTCTTCTTCTTCTTGACTACTTTATCTTTGTTTTGAAAAGCAAACAAACGAGATAGTGATCGAGGTACTGGCTGTTCATCGGGGTCCGTTGGTGGTGCGTTTATTTTGTCCTTCAAACTGAAATGTAATATTAATAAAATGTTAAAATTTTATACAATACAGATAAAAATAAAAAACTCTGTTTGATCTTTCCTACTAATCAAGTAAATAAAATAAATACCCTTGCATTCGTCGCGCATGTTGAACTAAAGGATCCTTCACCCCACGATGTTTTTTAGCAGGTATTTTACGACCCATTTCGACTTAGCCAACTTAAAAAGTTTCTTAGTAAATATTGACTATATTCAAATCACTCGGTATAAGCTAGCTATACAAGTTAAATTAATTTTCTGAAAATAATTGCACGTGTTTGTGTTTTTAATTTTTGTTGCAAGTGCCACAGATTATAGAATTAGAATTATAGATATATAGAAAGTATATGCACAGACCATACACATTTCATAGATTACTTATTAGTAGAGAGCTCCTGAATTTTCACCACAGATAAAGTTTATGGAAACTCGTTAGGTTTCAATCTTTAAATATAACACGGATACAAGGATACTTAGCAAAACTATTCATTTATATCGTAAAATATTTTATTATAAACCTTAATGTAATTAAATCGTAGAAATACATAAAACATATTCTTAGTAAACTCTGTTCTATTAAATATATAAATATTAAAAGTCTAGTTTGTGCTAGATCTACATCTATAAGTGATGTCAACATTGAACATATGCTTGATTATTGTCAATGCGACACTGTATGGCAAACTCACGGCGATTGGCGAATAGCGAAGTAGTGTCTACATAGTGCGGGAGGGGATTGTTTTTAGCAGTCAGCAAGGTCGTTCTTTGTGTCAAAAATTGAGCTTGTGACGAATATTCAAGTTTTTATTATTTACATCTACGGATTGAGTGTTTGTGCGTGGTAACAAAGGTCGTAGTGCTCATATGTCGGTAATCGTAATAAATTTTTAGAGAAATTTGTTAATACGGACGTTCCAATGAGTTTGGGAGGAGGCAATAGCTCAGAGGGATCAAATGCAGGAGGAATTGTCGTACAATTTAATCAGGATTGCACGTAAGTATTTCCTTTGCACCTATTTAAAACATCGCTTGAATGAAATAAATAAAAATAGAAACGGGGATCGCTCGGAAGCAAGTGATCAGAGAATAGATAGGTGTGTATTATTGATATTATTAACGTCAAGGCTGTTGCGTCGAGTTTGGTTGCTAAACCGCGAAAGGGTCACGTTTACGTTGGCTTAGTTAAAAACGCAGTTAGGTCGGACGATGATGCAATATGTCATTGCCAATGTTTTCGTAACTATTTTCAAGAACGCGTACATAGCTTTTATCGAAGGATGTACGATGGAACAAATTCAACCTTCATTGAACATGACCTCAGATTGTAATATTCTATTGTTCGCGAGCTTGCATTCTAAACAGCTGACTTTTGTTATGTTGTGTTAGTGTGGTCTTTTCCTTATTGTTAGGAAAATCTCTGATTTATATCTGATAAAATAAGACTATGTTTTAAATAAATTCCGCATGTGTTATTTTACCTACAGTATTAAGGCCTAAAAATACCATGTGCTTGTTTGTTGTGTACTTTATCTTGTATTATCTTTTGTAAATTCATTAAAATATTTAAGAATAAATATAAACAGCTTAGCATTACATCTATATCTATATTACATTTTTTTTTTTTTTTTAAATATTGTTTTATATATTTTTTTCTTTAACATAAGAATTATAACATCTCAATCTATTTTACAAACAGTATGTATAAATGATTATAGTTTAGGTTCAAAGTTATATATATAACAAAAAAAATTATTGTGTTGTGTAGTGTGTCCCATGGTAATTATTTGAACTACAATAAAAATATTAAATCTACAGCGACTTGCATTGTATTTCACAATAATATTTGAATGGACCACCTCTACCCTTATGTTCCCAATTATTGCAGATCACTAGTGGCTGGCAGTAGTAACGGTTATCAATTGTTTGCATTTACACCGGATGATGGCGTTGACGAGATCTATGCAAGTCGTTCGGGCCAGGAGACTTGTATTGTTGATAGATTGTTCAGCAGTTCCTTGGTGGCCATTGTCACCGTTTCAGCTCCCAGGTAAGTTTAGTTCATATTTACAGTAACTAACAAATTTAAGTTGTAACATACAATGATAGATACAGAAATTGTTGTACAGATAAAAAAAAAAAAAATAGGTAAAACATGATCAATCGATATCCCCTATAAATCTTCTTATTATATATTAATAACAATAAAAAACATACTTAAATTAGTTTTGATTCTTAGATTTTGACAATGAATATTGAATCACAGAATGAACTATGAAAGTTAAATGTAACTTAAAGTACAATCATTATCTTTAATGATGTATATCATTATTATTTACTTGTTGTGGTTAAAACAGTTTAACAATGAAATCGTTAGTTAACTAGGTAGTCCATTGTCGGTATAACTTTATTTTTTATATTTTGTATAATCCAATCAACTTAAATATCAAAGGTAATAGAAAAGGTTTTTTAATATTAGGTAGGTATATAAAAATTATTAAGGTATTTACAAAACGTATAACATCGTAAAGATCTATGGGTAGCTTATATCTAAAAATCTATTCAAGAAACACTAACACTCATTTGATAGAGAGAGATGCTATATATATGCTAGACTAGTCGATGGTGCATCTTAAAAAAATTCAAATATTAATGTTTATTAATTTAATGTCATTTATAAAGCCTTTGTTGTATTACATTGCACAAGTAATTGTAATCATAAAATATAATTAAAGTGATGTCATAATACATTACCGCTTATACAGTTAACTTCTCCATAATTTTTATGGCATGGACTTAGCTTTGACTCACTGGTCCACAGGACTATTAAAGCATTTTTAGATTAGTCATAAAAAGCGTGAAGTGTGAAATCCCGTTTCCCCCTCGTGGGGCGTGGGGCGAACACATTTCTGTGTCCGTTTCAATGATCCGTTTTTTTTAACAGGCAAGTAGTTGATCAGACTTCTGTGCCCTACCCGACCGGAACAACTTTTTTTTGGTTCCCCTGGGATTCGATCCCACGTCCTAGCGCGCATAACGCAATGCTATACAATACGTTTAACCATTTGACTATAGAGGCGGTTAGATTGGTCATAAACAATGTTAACAATCGATTAATTATTTTGTATTTATTTTAATCTATAAAGGAAGGAATTTCCAGGTTTTATCAGTTTTTCTTACTATATTTTCAACGAACGTTGTACGAAGTTTTTTTTTAAACAACATGTTTTTCGATATAATCATCAATGGGTGACGTAATTATGTTGACTATACGACTGTATATTTGCATAACATCGTACGATATTGCTTTCGAAATATCCTTCATCGTAATAGGCGAATGTTTATGTCGTTGCCGATTCGTAATCTTGTTTTTCAATAGAATTATTATTTTTAAGCCACGTTAAGCCTTAAACAAACGGAACATTAAAATTGTATAGTATGTCAAACCTAATTGCACCATTAAACTAATCACTATTGATATGAATTGTAGTTACTTACCTATAACTGCTATTAAAATAATGATAGTCAAAGAGATAAAATGGCTAAGGAAAAGTAACTAACAGTACTAAAGTTTACTGACTTTTGCAAATGCCCGCTTCTTTCAAAACTTTCAAGTACATCAAAAACGGTCTCAAACTTAAAATTTGAATGTCATTACATAAGCTTATCTAAGCAACATAACATATTATGATAATTTTAAAGCAATCAATGTCCAATTATGCATGCAGTTCTAAATATAAAATTTAGAAAACCAGTTGCATCTATTTATAAATGTCCTTTTTAAGATTCGTTTATTTATAAAATTTGTTGAGGTTGAGGTTGTTGTTGGTTTTTATTTTACTATTTATAGCTTTACTAGCTGCTTCTTCGTCGGCTTAGAATAGTTATTTTGAACTTGTATTTGCAAACAACCAACAAAATATATAAATAAATAAACCTCCTCCTCGCCTTTGTCAATTATAGGTGTGTTACCCAAGACGTCGCGTCTCGTACAGGTACTGGAAAATCTGTATAATTACTACTATCTATCTACAGTATCGTATATCTACCTAGAGTATATGCTTCTCTAATAGAGAAAAAAAAAGAAATCTCAAAGCAAAAATGTCTTCAAGTAGATGAAGGATTTTTTTCCCTGCCAGTTTGAAACTAATAAAGGTGTGTTCCTGGGAGTCGGAGCTTTCGCCTAACGCAAATCTAGGCAATACCGCTATGTGTATTCATTATCGCTCGCATTTTAAAGAATCTTATTCGTAGCGCTATCAGACAACAGGCATTTGTTCAAATATTTAAGTTTATAAAGACAATGTTTTACAGTTGTAGCGACGACATTGAGTAGTGAATGGCTTTTAACACATATAATTCAATTTCAAGTTAAACTCGAAACGATATGCCGTAGGTCAATTAAACCACTACATACAACGATACTAGCTTAGTCCTTAGCAACCATATATATATCTAATGACGGGAAAGATGTCAATGAAATTCACATAAGGATAATTAATTAAAGTACACCCAGTATTGAAAGGCGTTTTTGTAATATAATAAAAAGTTAAGTTTTTCGTTCTTGTCATTAAGTACTTTACAATAGGAAATTCAAATTAGAGTATTTTTAATTGCGTTTATATAAAATCGACAGTACATTGGACCCTCGAACTTGACATTCACTTAAGCAAATATTATATGAGCAACTTTTTTATCTTTGAGGTAATCGTAGGTAATTACTATATGTTGAAGGACATTTGATAGTGTATCGTAAACGTTTATATTTATTAATATATGCAGGTTATCTAAACTACATAACTTTGTGTGATACGTGAGGTCCTGTGTTCAAACCCCGGGTAAACTTGATCGGACCAAATGCTGATCACCGGCTTGAGTGTAGATAAAATCGAGCTCGTTATTCGGCGGACGGAATCTAGATAAAAATTTAACTGAATTATGTTCTGATGCCTCAAACCATTGTATTAATTTGTTTATGTTTTAATTGTTATAAAATTAAATAAATATTTTAACACCAGCTGACCGGACAAACGTTTTTTTGCAATATTTTGACCAAATTTCATAACCATACCAACGGTTCTTGTAAGTTAATCTTAAAAGGTAGACCTATGCTATCGTGGACTGTTTAACTTTATTTAAACGGGAATAAATCTTTTATATATATATAGTTTTTGCACCACACGAACTAATACCTCAAAGGTGAATATATCCCCCGATTTTTTAGACATTTCCTAATGGTTTTTCGCTCCTATAGGTGGGAATCGGATATTTTATAGCGTCAAGACTTCCCCCATAAATGGACCGACCATGACAGAAATCAATTCGACCCAGTAGTTACTGAGATACATACCCGAGATCCTCGTTTAAACAAACAAACTCTTCAGATTTATAATATTACTATAAATACAAGTAGTATCAATTTTTATCTTTCATGTTTACAAATTAAAACAGTATATTATTGCATATTGAAACGAGGAAGAGGCGATACAAGTGTGACGACGACCTCAGTGCTAGGTTATGCGTAGTTTTAAATTAGATATGAACTGATAGTAATCAATTCTTTACCGTATTGTTTTTTTGCTGCAAATTATCACGGTATTATGTGGACGGAGATGTGTTGGGTTCGTAATGTTTTAAACGGTTTAAAGCGCGAATTGTATAAGCTTAACTTATCTACAGTTTATTTTAACGACTGCTTGACGTTTCGGATGTTTCGGCGTGGTCACGGAATTATATCACTTTAATTTTTGCTAAGACCCACATCGAACTGTTAGTGTGTAGATCGATTAATTGGGATACCTAACCCATTTATCAAAGTTCTCTCTCAAGAAAACCCGAAGTGCGCAAGCTGCTTAATATGAACCTTTATTTTAATTTGTAAATGTCCCATTGCTGGACACAGATCTTCCAACAACGAGGGGTTCAACCCTTGGGGACCTTAACCGACTAATTGCTACTAAATTAATAGCGATGACCAGGACTGAAAGCTTAAGGGTGCTTCGCAGCAATAGGGATGGGGACACGCCCTACTTCTAACTCCAGACGCGCACTAGAGACTTTGGTTCCAACTTATAAAAATACCGAAGGTACATTTGCTTCGAGCCTGGATTCGAACCAGGGGCCTCCCGAGCTGCTGTCGAGTGCACTAACCATTACACCATACAGACAGCTGGTGCTAAACAATGGATTCTAAAGTCAACGCATGTTATGTGCCTTTATAGTAATCAAAGTTAAGACTTTTATTACTATAAAGGTTAGGACTTAGCTTACTGTAATATACATACACTAGCTGTGTCAGTGACTTCGTTCCCGAGAATTGTATTTTGGGCATCCAAATTTGTTTGTATAAACCCCTTCATCTTTATAAACTTACGCTTTTACCCTCGACGTCGGTCGCGCTGCTTCCCGTCGTTCTTGCTAGTTATAGTTAATCTTAAAATATAGACATATAGCTTCGCGGACTTTTTTTAGGTCATTTAAAGAGCAATTATTTCATACATATTTTTTGGTTACCTTGAACCGTTTTTGCCATTTTTTTACGTTTCTCGCTGTATCTTCCCTTGTATTAGTCACAGGGCGATGCTTTATAGCCCATAGCCTTGCTCGATAAATGCTTTAACCAACACAAAAAGTATTTTTCAATAAGAACGCGTAGTTCCTGAGATTAGCACGTTCAAAGAAACTCTTCAGCTTTATTTATTAGTATAAACACTTAAATATAATGAATTATTCTAATAGATAAACGGACAGTCCACAATAATTAGTTGCAAGGGCAGTGATATTGCGCGCCAGATTAGGTATGTGGCCTGTAATTCGACTAGTTGCGTGACTATACACAAGGTTTGGCTAACGTTAAATAAAATTCTATATTCATTGGGTTTTTTATACGTTCGACTTTATATCGAAGAATAGAAACTCATTATATCGAAGTACTAATGGTACAATTGTTTTGTTCGTTCGATTAGTCGTCAGACTAATGTGTATAGCGTCGATTGTTGCACTAGATAATTCTTTGTTGAACAAAGTAAACACGAACTCTTTGTTTTTTGAATTAATCTTTACTGGCTCTTAAATAACGTCGTCATTCTTATATCTTAATAGTTAATAACTGACAGGACCTACGTACAGCCTATATATCTGGTTATAGAAACCTCAAATTAAAGGGGGTGTGTTTTTCGTCATAGGCTTTAACAAAGGATGTCTGAAATTTTGCATCACTATGAATGGATTGGCAAAGATTTTATGAAACATTGGTTAAGTCTAATCTGTTAATTTTATTATTAACTTTACCTTTTTAACTTTTATTATTCCTCATTTATTATTGCACGTGACAGATAGTTTGACGCGACAGCTCAATTGGTTAGAGTAGCAGCACGGATCGCCGTTGATGCCTGTTTGAATCCCGCCCGTATCCTATTTTTTTTTCAAACTAAATAGATTTCGAATGTAACTTTACTAAACAAAATTTATGTATATTTATGTTTTTTTTTAATACTCTTATCAAGTCGTAAAAGTATGACGTATGGTAAAACTGAACTCTAAAGTATATAAGGAAAGTTATAAAAATTGTCATTACATAAATAGAGCACAGAAGTAGGTCAGCAGGCAACGGACGTAAAGGAGTGGAGAGGTTATCATTTATTACTGACGACAGTTCGATTTGCATCTGCACTCGGCTTTCGTAGTGACGTGTTTTTGTAGCCCTGAACGCCCTTTATGGTCTTGGGTTTGAAACGCGTGTAATATTTTTTTCTAATATTTCACAAGACGTCATTTTATCGATTGTTTTGAAAAATTATATTAAATAAGCCATTTCTATTACTTATTCATGTTGCGTTCGACTTATGCGAGAAAAGTAAATTGAGATGTTTGTATTGAGGTTTTTAAAAGTTATAAAACCGTTTTGCAATGCGAGATTCTATTAATATTCCAATCACCGAATGCGCTTAGTGCCAAAAGCTAATTAGAGGAGTCATTAACATGTTCAGATTATTCGAGAATTCGCACTCTTAAATTAATGCAATTATAATCTGTGACCCGGATGGCCCGTTCGTATTTGACTAAGCGTTTTGTGACGTCACTATACACGTGCATCACGATTTGATACCGTTCGTCACACACTGATACAACGCAAATATAATATGTTTCATGCGTTGTCCACGGTTGTATCAACGTAAAAGAGCACATACTATACACGATTGGGGCATGCAGGGTGATAAAAGCTTCGTTTTAAAAGAATTTCAGGTATATAAATACAACACGGGCGGGACTCGAACTCACGGCCAACAGCGTACTATTGCTTACATTCACTCATCGATTTCCTAATCTAGTTCTTTTTCCACATATTGTTTTTCATTCCAGAACACCCTTGCATTTGTTAGCTTTTTCACGTGTATCCTATTTCTTAAGAAAACTCTAAACGCCGACTGGACAGACGCGACTGTCTCTGTTTCAATGATTATCGATTTTAAAGGCAAGTAGTTGACAGACGTCTGTAGGTACATACCCTGTCCGGCCGAAAACCATGTGATTTCCCCGGTTTCACACTCAATAAACTACTTAGGAGAAACTCACTAAATAACATGGAGATATGTTAAAGCCTCTTTCAAGTTAAATACATTTTTAATGGTCACAGATCTCATTGTTTATTACTTCCGTCATTGCTTCCTATTTCAGTTAAATTACCAAGTAGAGTTGAGATCGTTAGGTTAAGTCTATTGTATATGTGTAGTCTAAAATAGTTACATTATCTTCTATATCTTATCTGCTGTACATTATATTCAAAGATGCGAAATCACTTAGGTCTCATGTTGTAAACGACAATTATATCCACGATGTTATCGAATATGATTGTTTATTTTCTTGAAAAACGTAACTCATGATAACGCAGTTCGTTGACGCTGAGCGGAACGAGTATTAAAAGTCGAGTTCCTTCCATATATAAATGCATATATGTATTTTTATGTTCTCCAAAGACAATATTGTGGTTTTCCTCTACATTTTTTAAAGCGACCTTTCTTATCTGTTGATAAAAATTAGTATGGGTACAAACAGGCACATTTTATATACTTTTTTCTTTACCTAATGGTCAATGGTCCCGGTTGTTCACCTTCAGTTTGAAAAATATCTACCTCCATACTAAACATACGAATACGAAATTAAAATGATGACTGTACGATCCTGCAGATTATATAGTGTATGGTTTAAGTTTTTCTGTGCCTTGCTCTATTGCCCTAAGATTTGAACCTTCGCGCACTTTGTTTCAATCAGCCACGAAATTAAAAAAAACATTTTTAGCTATTTTTATACCAATATATAAAACTTACACTTAATCTAATTTTTGTCGTTTTTTTTCGAAATGAACTTGGTTCAATAAACTTTCTATATCAATTTGTTTTTTGTTGAGTTTTGTTATATTGTTTCATATAAAATAAGTCATATTTTTACGTTCATTAATTCCTTTAATTATAGTTTAATCTCTATTTCTTACAGTTTTTAATATTGACTCAGAGTTAGGCATCGTTTGTGCGTAAAGTTTGGAATTTAGCTTTATTATGTAAAGACAAGTCTAATAACATTTTCTATGTGATTCCAGAAAGCTGATCGTGTGCCATTACAAGAAGGGGACCGAGATTTGCAACTACAGCTACAGCAACACGATCCTGGCTGTGAAACTTAATCGCTCTGTTAGTATTTATACACCTATATTAACACATGCTAGGTTTTCTTACATACAGCTATTTTTTCATAAATAATATTTCGTTCATTAGAATTTGATTTCTTTAATCTCAATCTAAATCCGTCAAGCTGTTTATTCGTGAAAAAGAATCTATCCGTCGGAAACTTTTGTTATAATAGAATTAAATGCTATTCGCAGATTTATAGTCAAAGCATAATTTAATCTACGGTACGACTGCACAAAACTATTTTTTACACTCAGTTTAACTATAATTTAATACATTCGTAATTGCAATATAATATATTAGCCGTAATTTTCCTAATGTAATATTTCAAGTTAAAAATCGCATGTTTTTTGTTTCACGATTGATGTGACGGAAAACGTTACGGTGTATAATTTGTTTAACGGTATTTGGATATTTGCGTTATATGTTACGTGTATTCGTAATTAGTTAGAAATTAACGAAAAAATATTATTTACTAGCTGTGCCAGCTTCCATCGCAAATTACCTTTTACAGATCTCCTCCCTGTCGTAACAAAATATAGCTGTAACCCACGACGTAGGTCATTCTTGCAAGTTAATATTAAAGATAGACATATATAGGCGTCGCGGAATCATTGTTTCCGCCAAATTTTTGAGTATCTCGAACCGTTTTCGCATCGGACGCAACGGAAACCCCTTGGAATCTAAGTTTTTTTGACTTCGCTCCTATTGGTCACAGCCTGATGTTTTATAGCCAACACATTTTATAGCCAACACAAAAATATTTTTTAATTCGAACCAGTAATTCCTTAGATTTGCGCGTTCAAACATACAAGCAAACTTTTCAGGTTCATCTTATAGATTTAAATAACACAAACAAGACGATCCTTTTTTGTGGTCTCAAGTTGTTCAGTATTATCTGCAAAACACGTAAACTTCGAAACGGATAACGTTAGTGACAAAATATTATGCAGATTACGAAGTCTTTATTTATAGACAAACATTTGGACGGAGTTTAGGTGTAGCCAGATGTTACCTAATTACTAACAGTGATAAAGACTATTGTGTACGACGCCACAATCTTTAAATATTCAAAACAGTTCACAAGGTTTGGTTTAAAATGGAACCTTATTCCTTAGACCTCGCTTTCTTCAGTTTATTGCTTTAGTTGTATTTTTCGAAAGCTAAATACTGGATATTCTTAAAATGTGGTTGTTATAATTAACGGAACGGCACGCTCGTGCGGGAACCGACACACACTTGGCTGTTAAACGTTCGAGAACTGTTTAAAAAGTTATGAAGTTCAATGCGAAACTAATATTTGTGTAGAAAAATTCAATCTAATCTTTCAACAATTTAAAGTTCAATTCTTAGTAACGTCAAATAAGCTTATTTAATTATAATTCTAAATTCCAGAGACTTATAGTATGCCTAGAAGAATCCCTCCATATCCACAATATCCGGGATATGAAGATTTTACACACGATTCGCGACACACCTCCCAACCCACGCGGCCTTTGTGCGCTGTCACCCTGCGTCGACCACTGTTATGTGGCCTACCCTGGATCTAGCGCTGTCGGGGAGGTGCAGATTTTCGATGCTGTGCATTTGGTAAGCCGGGTTTTTCAATTTGCTGCTTGCTCTCTTTTGTTTTATTTTCTCGAGTTTGTAAATTCTCGGGAGATAGAGAGAGATTTCTCTTATTACCAGTGTTCTTGTTTTTGTCTAGTATTGTCAGTTTGTCGGATCTCAAATGGCTCTGTTTAAATACTGTCTTTAGTTTTCGCGGGGAGAACCCAATTTAAAAAAAAAAATTTGCTTTTTTTTTCGACTTATTTAAAATATTTTTAACTTCGGCCCGACGTTTCGGATGCTTTGCAGCAGCCGCTTTAAACCGTTAAAGTGTTTTTTTTAAAAAACGGCTCTGTTTCCTTTTTCTCTCTCGGTCTCTTTTTTTGCTCCTGTAATTCTTTACTTTTGTTAATTATATTTCGCGGCTAGTTTTCTTGTAAGTAGTATATATGTATGTGTGTATTCCATAGCAACAAAGATAGGATAGAGATATTTGATATTTACAAATATATGATTACAGAACGCGAAATGCGTTATCAGCGCCCACGATAGCCCGCTAGCTGCGCTGGCGTGGTCGATGTGTGGCCGGCGCTTGGCCACCGCCTCTGAGCGTGGTACTGTCATCCGAGTCTTTGCTGTACCAGAGAGGACTAGGCTGTACGAGTTCCGCCGTGGGATGAAACGCTGCGTGTCTATTGCTTGTTTGGCGTTCAGCGCTTGTGGTGCATATTTGGCTGCTACTTCCAATACGGAGACCGTGCACGTGTTTAGGTAAGATTTTGATTTACAACCAACATAATAATTAATGTTTAACTTCAGTAGCTATCATGTTTTAAGTTTAACTATAGTCCTTGTCAAAAACAATTGCAACGTTTGAACGTTCCTCACATTGTGCGGGATTTGACTAGCTTAACCTACGTCGTGTACAATTCATTATTTCGAATTTAAATAATTTCTTCACTAATTTTTTAAACAAATGAGGTATAGATTTTTTTATGATAGAAGTAGACAGCAAGCAATAAGCAGATGCGACAGAAAGAAATGTGGTCCGTCAATGATACCATATACCATCTTGACAAGATGCACTATCGACCTATTTGGCTCCTATTTTATCCATACGGGTGCAATATGTTTCTAACCATTTTATAATGCTTCTGAAACACATTGGACTTCGTCGAGAAACTAAGAACAGTTTCTTCAATAATAAAAATATCTGGCGATATCAGGCTTCAAGAGAACGCTGAAAGGGCAGTGGAGGACAACGCAGTAGCGGGTAGTCCCCCCACAGAACCCGGGTGGGTTGACTGGATGTCGCAGACCTTGTCTGCTGGCCTAGTGTACCTGCCGGCTCAGGTCACGGATGTGCTGAGTCAAGGCCGAGCTTTCGCCTCCGCCAAGTTACCTAGAGCTGGACATCGTGCTGTGGCGGCGGTCACTAAGTAAGATTACTTTTTAATTCACTTTGTCTTGCTTAGTTATATTCAACATATTATGCTATCAGTGGGATATTTTCATTATCTAAATGTACAAACAAAATGTATTTTATTTATTATACTTTAGTCTTTATAAAACTAACTATAGTTAATAGTTTTTAGAATATGCAATTTAGTACCTATTGATTTACAACTCAGAAAAATACAATACATTTGACGTCAGGTGACATTATATCACCAGAATATTATATGTATCTATAATTAATTTGCATATTGGGACCTTTTTGCAATAGCAAAATAGTCGAAACCCGTATTTACAGTTTCTACTCAATGCAGACAATAAGATAAGAAACTGGTGATAAATGTTAATAAAATTAGACCCATTATTGAACAATAAATGAAAAACATTAGACAATTATAAGATTTTCATCATGTTTCAGCGTGTCACGATCAGCTCGCCTCTTAGTGGCGACGTCAGAGGGCATCTTATATGTGTATTCGCTGGACGCAAACGAAGGCGGCGAGTGCACACTCCTGCGCAGCCATCACCTGTTGGAGCCGCAGCATGCACCGCAACATGAGTGTATGTAGAAACGAAATTAGTAAATTTCTCTTAATGAAAAATAGTTTACATTTTACCAACCAAATGTACAGTCAAATATATTTTGTTTAACAAGATCTAGCAATATGGATAGTTTAATAGATAAATTAATAAATTAAACTGTACATTTGTACTTACGAGAGTTATTTCACTTTAAATTTTATTTGCTTCTTACTTCACGTTAATCTTGCGATTTTTCAACTCACGTTGAACGAACATTGCCTAAAAATTGTGGCCGGGTGCGATTCTCTACTGAAGTCGGTTGAGAACTAGCACCGAGGCCCGACATTTTGGTCTCGTCATTGTCTAATACTCTGACTTCGTTCAAAACTCCTCTCCGTTCCTTCCCCTGTTCATCGCTTGTCAGGAAACGTCATTTTTGTTGCATATTCAGGACCCACTGCATTGCCTTTTAAGAATATGTTTAACTGTTTATGTATTTATTATTAAAATAATTATTTTCCCCCTTATTTATTTTTCTATCGATTCGATTATAACGTATGTATGTATTGTATATAAGTAAACTTTAAATATATAAAGAATTTTACTTCGGCAATTCTTCCCTATTCAGCCATATTGTCGCACTACTGTTTTAAATTAACAAATTCGTGGGTCAAAAAGCGATAAGCTGATAAAGAATTACTAGGAACGATCACACAGGTAGGTATTTTTGTTAGAGAAATTGAGGAAGCTAAAAATTTGTCAGCTAGAGAGTTATACAATTGTTGAAACTACATTACCTTTATAGTGTAACAATCAAAAAAGTCATTTGTACAAATAGCTATTACATCTGAATTAAAATGTCTGTTTTGATCATGGCTATAGAAAGATGCAGAATTTCCATCTGTTAGGTTAGTTAGCAAAGTGATCGTTGCTAGTAAGTGAAGTAGAGTAGTGCGGGAGATGGCTGACGTATTGTTCCCCGCAGTCGCCACGGGATGCAGTTACGCGGGCGCGCTGCGCGGCAGACTCCCGGACCACATGACAGGTATAACCTATCACCCATCATTCAACTATTTTCCACTACCTTATCCCATCCACAGATAAACCTTTACCTTCACGATTTTTTATTCCCATTTATCTATTACTCTTTCCGACCCTTTTTCCCCATCGTTCTCCATTTTCCCCTTTTCTCCCTCACTTCCCTCGCGCGTCGTCGCATTCTGCGTTGTCGCGTAGGGTTCGCATAGTCGCTTCCAGTCGCCAACGACCGATCGTGACTTTGCTTAGCACTATTATTAGTCCAGGAATGTAAGCTATAGTTTTATAAATATTTTTATATGTGAAGACTTCATAGCTTAAATTCTCGGCCTGCTTTGTGTCCTAAAAGTTTTGGTCGTATCTCGAGTTATTCCCAACCCTATTCCTTACTCGTTCCTCGCTTTGTTTGGTCTGAATCTGGCAGAGTCTAAGCGCTCGTTGGTACCATACTGACTTGGGCCGATGACTGTTCCGTTCTACGTGTCGTAAGTAGCTTTAAGGTAAATTTTAGTAATTAATTTGTAAGATCCATGGTTTACACAATGCACACCCATTAAAAGAACGATGCGAATCATATTTGTAACTCGCGCTTTAAAATTTGTTGAATTTCACAACACCCTAACATATGCAACGATTGCTTATCATTTTTGACGTTAAAATCCATAAGACTTCGTCATCTGCGCCATTCGTACGGAATATATTGGCAAAGAATTTGTCGGCTGCGAACAAATATATCATGGAAAGATAATTGATATTTTCAAAACGGCTAACAAGTATAATGGACGGATAGAATCGATAAGAGGCTTAGTGAATATCAAATACTTTTAAGTTCAGTACTTTCCCAAACTTTCAAAATGTTGCATGATCCATCCAACGAATGTTTCAACACAGGTTAAACCAGTAGAATGTATCTAAGAGAACTACTCAAATGTACTAAAGGGAACAATACTTGCGCGGTACATCCAAATTGCGAGTGGTCGTGAAAAATTCAGGACCAGAGAATTATTAAGAAACTTCCATGGTATATTTGTTCGCAGATGGCCGGCCAGCGGCGACCAGTAGCGGTAAGTGTCCACATAGCACTTTTCCTTTTGGGGGTTCTGGTCACTGGATACAGTGAGGCTGGAGGGTCCAAAACTGGTTACGGTTTTATGCTAATTCTAGAATTTTAATATAAAGGGGGAATTCTCTTTAGCTACTATATAAACGACCACGTTTATCATCCAGACATCATAAATTTGATATAAAATGTTATATGTAGAATATATCTACGTAGGTGCACTAAATATGAGAAATTTTAAATTTCTCCAAACAGTGCTATGACTCATGTTATTTTTATTTAATTTGCAATATTTTCTTTAGTTTTTATTGATTTTTTTAATACCTAAAATAATAACCCATGTAGCTATCAATCCGGGCATAGAATCCCTGACCTTCATTACTTGTGTACGAGATATATTATGTAGATATCTGTGCCCATATTTTTTATATTTTCATTTAGATTGTAAAGTAAAACGAAAGATTTTCCAAATCATAGTTTTGTTAGTTTAAAGCTTTTGGTGTATGGTTGGTGTCGATAACTGGATCGGTCACAACTATCTAAAATACGTATTAAAATATAATTTATGATATCTAGAGTCGGAACGTGAGCACGAACTGAATACAGCGATGGCAGGTTCGCCGCCGCGTGGGACTTACGATATTCGCGACCCGAGGCACTTCCCGCCCATGCGCGCACCCGCAGACACACCGGCCACTGAATAAGACGGCAACATAACGTTACTGCGATACCTATGATGGGGGATCATTTAAACGAATACTAATTAACGTGGCCAGGCTTTGTGTACTAATAAGGGACCATCGATAAATTACGTTACGCGTTTAGGTAGGGAGATGAAAGATATGTCTCGTGGCAAAGGGGAGACAGGGCTCTGAAATTTCATGACGATAAATAAATAAAGTTAAGAGGTTTAAATATGCATAATGTCAGACGTGGGATTTGATACATTCATGAAATTCGCGTGATGTAATTTATGGACGGGCTCTAAGGTGGTAAGATATATAAACTTTAATTTTCCTATCGCGCACTCTACTAGGCTAAAATAGCTAAATTTTGGCGAAGGAGGCTGAATTTTAAACGCAGTAACAATGTAATCGCTACAAGATGTAGCGTTTAAATTTGTATTAAATAATTTACATATTTGTGTATCACTTCGTTTTGCGTACAATAATTAAGCACCAAACGTGTGTGCTTGAGAATAAAGTGATACAAAATTGGTCTAATATTATCTTTGACTACTTTTATGAATTATAAGGTGATAAAATATAAAAAATAATTCTGTCGTTAATTTTTTTTTTCAAATAAATCGGACGAGTAATACAGTGACGAGGTCTAGTTTTAATCAAATTGACGTTTAACTCTGCATTAGAAAAAAAAAACTTAAAAAAAATATCACTACCTTTTTAGAGTGATTTACAATACCTGTATTGTATTATAATTATATACGATTTTGTAGTTTCCCTTCATGTTTGTCGGAATGTATATAGGAGTAGGTTATTCTGAATTCTAGCAATACGATTTGAGCTCGCCGATATATGGGCTCGCTTTGTACATACACTAATTATATCGAGCCTCGTGTAATATATTTTTGTTAGACTATGCGATGTGATATACTGTGTACGGCTATGTGTGTGATTTAGACTTAGGCTTGCCTATCATTTGACGATTGGCACTTTTACTCATCCGCAAAAAAGTCAAAAAAATTGTAAATAAAAATAGAAAGGATGAAATAAATCTATAGTTATCGTTCGCACTGAGCACTCGGCTTTACTATTTTGAAGGTACAATATATTTTCTTTAGATGTGTAAATGTTAAATGAATTGAGAATAATCAAGTAAACGTAAAGCCATGTGAGCAATAGTTGTAAGTTTATTTCAATAAAACCGAGTGGACAATTGTGGCACGGGACAGACATGCACTCTGATCATAAAAATTGTTTTTAACGTAGCAAATATTAATTAGATATTTGCTGTCTATGTGTAGCAGTATACAAACCCACACCCCAAAACTTCCCTGCTGTTACCTACGATAATTAGAATGATTTAATGTCCCGGTTGCCGCTTAGATACAAAATTATACATAATTAAATAAAATATTTTTACAAAACGCTAATTATGCTTTTTATTAAACAAAATTAACCCTATATTTTATTATTTGTTACTATTTATAGATAGTTCCAAATTTGAAAAAGAAAGAAATAACCCCAAAGTTATCACTTTTGCTCTGTCGAAAGATAAAAAAGTATGTCGGCGAGGAAATAAAATACAAAATTGTGTACGCAGCACATTGTATTCATGTGAATTCTCTCATATAAAACGGCCGCGATGTGCGACCGGCCTATTGGCGTTACTTTTTCAATTACAGTTAATGATACATGCATTCATACAAACTGCGCTTCGACGTACTACAGGCATGAAAGCAATACACAATAATAAAAAAAGGAAATTATGGAGACAAAATACGCAGTAAGCGCAGTTAATTTCATAATAGATTACACAGGATCACCTATGAAGCGCAGAGTAAAAACGTTTAAAATGTAATTTGTGATATGAGAAATTTTGAAATAAATAAGGAACTAATTTTTCTAAGCTTCCCGTTATACTCAACGTTGACAGAAACATTCGGCGGAAAGGATTGCGCCAATGTTAATGACATGCTAAATTTGATTTATAACATTTTCGTGTAACCAAAGATACATCGATGACCGAAAACACCATAGAATCTTGAGGATGTTGGCTTCAGTGGCGTAGCTTTGTAGAACTAGGTGGTGCAATGCACTCGGACCCTCTAACCTCAACTTTAAAAAGAGAGATAAGAATCTAAGAAAACAAAGTAACCTTTTTTGAATGAACTGATCTTGTTATCTATAATTTTAGAGTAGATATAAGTTAGGAGAGGGGATGAGGACCCAATTCTTTCTTAATGTATCGAGGCCCTTTTTATCTAGCCACGCTACTGGTTCTATTCAATAATCCTGAAATTCTTCATCGACGTATGTATAATCATATTTCTCATATTGTTATGTTCTTATAGCCACGAATTTTGGTTAGTCTAAATAAATGAACGAAACCAACTAAAATCCAATATAGCCGAACATCTCCATTAATATGTAGTACCACAAATGATTTACACAATACACGAATTAAACTAAATTATGTACAATCTATGACATGGGCTGTAATAGAACTTGGTTTTAAAAATAAATGGAAATTCCCTAAAGTATAAATTCTAAATGAAGAGTAAAAATAACGGCTAGCGGCTATCCAACATCTAACATGTAAGGTCCATACAACGTTAGGTATAAAAATATGTCCGTTCCGGGACCGGCGATAACGCTGTCTTTGTAAATGTCGACGTTTCTTCTAAAACTACATTGCGTTGTTTCTGTAAAAAAAAAAATGGTTTCTTAATAGTTGTTTGTTATGGTTGATGTCGGTCTTTGTAATCCAAAAGTCCATGTTATATATGTTGTGACTAAAACATTGGCTATTCCTTGTTCTATTTCTCTTCTTCCATTAGAGAAACAAAACGACTTCTTTAACATGAATTTTGTAGATAACTCGTCTGTTTACCTAACTGTTGAAAAGATTTAGAATGTATAGCGGTGACGTCACAATATGGCCGCCGACGATTATGGTTTTAAATTACTTACATCTAATTATTAAGTTTTTTTCTTGTGTGTGGTATAGTTCCAAATTATTAAATTGTTCCTTCGTTCTTACTAAACACTACCTATCTCAGAGTTTAAGTCTTAGTAGATTTGTTCTTGTTTTATTTACCTGGGCATTGCGCACATTTCGCAAGAATCAAGTGGTGCTGCATTATGGTAGGTGCACAATTGACAAGTCCATACACCGCCCTCCGACGAACTGTAACGAATTAAATGTAATAAGTATGTAGAGTATCCACGAGAAGGCAGAAGGAATAGAGGGAGACCAGTAACCAGATGGAAGGACGATATGAAACATGCAACGGGATCTATGTGGCGAAGAACAGCTCGTTTTAAGATATTGTGGAAAAATGTTGAGTAGGCCTATGTTGTCAGACAAGCGAACTTATTGATTATTAATGTAAATAGTATGTCCTAACTAGTTACATATAGTTAATAGATTTTAGAACAGTTTTAGATATAAAATAATTTAAGGTTTTAAGTAAGAAGTCTGTAAATATTATTGTACAGATTATAATTAAAGATAAGTTCATTGGTTTGTAAATAAATGCTATTTTCATTTCATTTTATTTCAATCAATGAAATTAGCCACTGAAATCTGCCCAAGTTCACATATACCTGTTAGCGGCTGGAGAGTGATGATCACACGCCGCCAGTTGTAGTAAAGTCGCAACGTGTCCTTCGCTGCACCAGTTTTCCGCAGCGAGCTCGTCCCTCGACCTCACTGCTTGCAGCAGCGGCTCCAGTTGCTCTATTGTTAACGGGAGAGCTTCATTGGTTGCTAAGTACAGTAAGACGTGAAGATCTGACATTGCCTGAAAACATGAGACATTAGACAATATTTATGAAAGATCCTTTTTAGAGATTTTTAATGATCTTACCACCCATATTACGATGTCATAATTAAGAGGGTTTTAAAAGTCTACAGTTCTGTATCTAGGTCACCAGCTTAGGATTGTAAATATACAATGATACACTTATTATATGTTATTTAATTTCTCTAATAAAAGATTATTAAGGAACTGTATACAAATCTATAATAAAACTAATTAAAAATAACTAAATGACAATACTTGGTGCGGCGAACTTATTAAAAGGAGTAATCAAGACTTAGTAGCATCAACATTTTAAATCGAAATTGAGATATTTAAAAAGCTATTACAACGTGTTAGACTCGTTACGATTACCTCTAAGAATGAGGGCGAAGCTTGGATATGTTCATGTAGTCCTTTGAGTGTCTGTATATGGTTTTGGAGCGGGCGATTCGCGGGGGGAAAAGTGGCAGTAGGGCAGAAGGTCGGCTGGGACGTGCTAGGCGCAACTCCGCAGGGCACATCCACTAGAAGATACGCAACTGGCAACCTCTTAGCCGACACGCCTACATCGTTACCGTACTCGTCGCGTTCCTGAAAAGAAAAAAAAAATACTAAACAACATTTGATAATAATTAAGGGGATATTGAGATTATATTGCAACTAGAAAATAAGATGAAAATTTATAATTTTTATGAAACATGTTACGAACTGGCTTCAGATGAAAAAGCCGTCACCATTAATCGCGTTTCGGTTTCAGTCTGTGGATTTGCGAATATGCAAAGCCGAAATGGGTCGACAACGCATCTTGTTTAGATGTTATAGGGCGGGGGTATTTCACCTTACTTCAAGTGAACTTCATTTTTGTCTTTTCACTTCTATAATAAAATGTTAAGTGCTCTACACATACTACCAGTACCATTCTTTATGCTTTATTATATTTTTTCGTGAGTAAATTCAATCAAAGCCATTATTATGGTTATGATTTTTGTAATAAGATTTTATGAGAACCATAACCACTAAGTGAATGTAGAATTATTATTAATTTCTTTTATTTTATATTTTATTTGATGTTTGTACCTATAATGCATAAACATATTCTAAATACAAGTACGCAACAAGATTTTAGTGTGTGTAATTTAAGTGTATGAAGACTTTAGGGGAGGTAATAATAATATTTTCTAAAGATTAAAAATGCCAAAGAAATAAATTAAAAGCTATAACAAGGGGGTATTGCAAACATTTACTTCTGGTCGTCGTTACCGGTAACATTAAGAGAAACGGCTACGCGTAACATAAGTTGCGTTATATTTGACCCGCACATCGATCGACCCTTTGTCTATTCTTGCCTCGGTTTGTGCACAAAAACCATTTCTAAGAATAATTAATTTAAAAACACATTATTTTACACTATCGTCAATGTAATTATTAAGTATTGAATTCAGAGTGTATTTTAAGTTGTAACTGCCCACTAATAAGGGTTCGTCATACTTTTTATGTCGATCATAATATAAAGAAACACCTATTTACGATTATATCGAATATATTTCTAACACGCGCATTTTTTCAATTATGGTGTCCCTGCATGACACTGTGAATGTAGAGTGTTGTGACGTTCGATAAGAGCTGATAAGGCGGTCGGCGGCGAGGGCTGACCCGCCCGTCTTAATCATAGCCCACCGGAACATAGCGAAGTTGATGCGGGTCGACAGAAAACGTATGATGTAGTATCTTTCGTAGAACGTCTGTATTTTCTATGATTTAGAAGAGAAAATTACCGTCAGCACTACGCACGACATTTTAAGTTATCAACTTAAAAATTAAATTTTTCATTAAAAACTGGGATATTTTTTAATTATAAACGATTTCGGCTGCTTAAGACCGGATATATATTTAATAATAACCTCAATTAATTTTCTAATTTTTTTCGTTTAACCTGAAAGTAAAGTTTGAATGACGTCAACGAATAAAAAAAACAGGACGTCCTTTCAACGTTACTATGCCGGCAAATAATCTGTTGATCGACCGACTTGAAGCCGGGCGCAGAAGCGGAAAACAACATGGCGTATGTACACAAAACGTAACATGATGTGGCAATCCACATCGGTCACAATATTTTAGTTAAGTAATGTTTTAGTTTTATTTTATCGAGTGTGCAGCGAGCGGAGGCATAAAATGTGATCGTAATTAACGCGCGTCGGTAGTGCGCTCCGCGGTGATCCGGTGCCGAGTTCCGCTGGGACGCATGACGTCTACCAAGCAGTAGGACGGCCGAGGCGACTCCTCGCCGTCCACCATGGAGCAGATGGCCAGTTCACTGGATGACCTCGAGGAGTTAGCGCTTTGTTCTTGCTGTCAGCGTGTATTCGACGAGACTGAGAGACTGCCTAAACTCCTTTCATGCAAACACTATTTCTGCCTCCCCTGCACCCGAAGCGTGTTGGAAGCCGGTCGGGAGGTACGCTGCGTGCACTGCTGGAAGAGGACCGAGCTGCCAGAGGGACGTGCAGAGTCGCTGCCAACGCACGCCGCAGTCTTGTCTTTAGCTCGCCGCCTGAGCCCAGATCCGCCTTGCTCCGTTCACTCGCTACCCGCGCTCTGGTGCGCCGTATGTGGGGTGCGCGCCTGCAGAGCCTGCGACCACACGCAACACGCGCACGCCCTTCGTCCTACCCGAGAAGCACGCACCTTACTGCAGCGGGATACCCGCCTTCTACAATCCGATCTTCAGAGGCTAGCTGTACGTCAGCGAGATTTTTTACTTCGGGCCCTTGACGCCGCTACTGCTTTGAAAACCCGGCTCGAGGCAGAACTCGCTCTACCCATTACATACCCGATACCTTTTGAGAGGACTAGTGTCGATGTCGAAAGCTGTTCGTTGGCGGCGGCTACAGCTGAACGGGAACGTCTCCGCGCCCGCCACGCTGATGCCCTGCTACAATGTCGTCTCGACGACTTAATTCGAAGCGCCAACGTCCCCTTAGATTTTGAACTTTTGCGACGCGCTCTCTCAGGGCTCTGTGCAGGTGAATCATCGCCTACACTCCCGGGAGAAGAGCGACGTGATCCCGTTCTCTTCTTGGCTAACTATTGTATGGCCCAACTTTACACGAGACACTGTCTGGTCCGGCGCGTTCCGACGCTGGATGTCATAGATGGTACGGGAGCTCTCGAAGCGGACGCAGCGCCGGAGGCGGCCTCCCCTGCGCCTACTACTGCGGCTCTCGGTTCACCGATGCTGCGCAACCCGTCCACGTATCCGTTATTTTACTTTAATTTGGAGGTAAACGGTACCCCATTTGGGCGTGTAGTGATAGAAGTACGCGAAGATGTCGCACCAAGAATGGCGCGTAACTTTGCAGTTCTGGCGACTGGCGAACTCGGTGTAGGTTATCGCGGCTGCACGGTATTTCAGTGTTGGGAGAATGAAAGCGTCATCACTGGGGATTTCGAGTTAAATAATGGCCGCGGGGGCCGTTCCGTTTTTGAGGAAAATTATTTCATGCCAGATGATACAAAGATGGTCGCCGTACGCGGTTCCGTTGGCATGCGTCGGTCGCAAAAACGCCACGACAATTTGGGACTAGTCGGATCTCAGTTTAGAATTATGTTACGTGAGATGCGTGGCTTCACGGCTATTTTCGCTTTCGTCGTAGAGGGTCTCGAGTTGGTCGATCGTCTGAGTCGCACCGGCGACAGTGCCGGTAAGCCTCACAGCTCCATTCTTATTACCAGCTGCGGCAAATTAAACTAGACGAACAGCTCTGTTCTCAGGCCACTCGAGCATATCATATCGCATCGATACAAACCGTACTGTCGATAAACGTGTACCTAATTTCTCACCTCTAATCGTCGGACCAACCCAATCGTTTTGTCTACAAATTTTTATTCGTACTCTAAGCTATTTTTATAAATATAGAGAATTTTCAAGTATTTACAACGTGTAATCGAAGTTCGTCGGCTTGAGCTTCTGTAGTGATTTCGTTCGCATAATATCGATGTTAATTATTAAGTCCGAAGCGACGCCGTGCAGTGACGAAGTTATGGGATGTCATAAAGTGTGTTATGGTCAGTAACCGGGTAACAGGGAAATCGTGCGTTAGCCGGCTCGCGACGCCGGTTGGCCACTCGTATCGTATCGTCCTAGATGCTAAGATGTAGGCATACGACAACGCTTTTGTTATACTCGTCTGTGTAGCGGTACATTGATAGGCCTATTTAGAGGTTAATTTTCAAGCGCACCTGTCGCTAAAGTGAATGAAGAATGAACTCTATTATATATAACTATAGCGTCTCGCAAACCTAGTTTTAAGGAAGCGCATTATATTTTGATCTGTGTGTAAATGAATGTTAAATGTTATAGAGAATTTATTCTTATCGTTAGCCAAACGTATGACTCGATAAGCTGTCGCAGTAGCCGCGGAGGCGCGTTCGTCGTATACTAAATCGGTCGTTATATCGTCGTCTAGAATAGATTTATATTTACAAACAACCGTTACCTCTCGAAGAATAATACTATATTGATGTATTTACGTGAAGATTTACTTCAATAAGCTATGATTCCCGTATGTTTAAGACTGTGATGATAAGCGTATGGTGGTGGAGTTTGCGGGGGCACACAGTGTCTCCGAGTGGTCAGTGCCTGCTTAAAAATTGATAATATACATATTTACTATTTATCGTCGTACTCTCATATTGACGTCCTAACGTTCGCGTGCGAGGCCCTTCGGTGAGCGTTCTCTGGGGGCTTTAGTAGATATGCGGTCAATAGGATCGCGCTTTGTTTTGAAAAACTTGATTGAAAAACCAAAGTCGATTGGGGATTTACGTCACCCGTCCCAGAGACTTCTTAAGAGTTTCGTATCGTATAATTGATTCGTTAATATGTTTTATTATTGTAAAGATTGATTTTTTTCCATATAGTTTATAGTTTAGTGGAATTGTATCGGTCGCAGCGGCCATTTTTGTTATATCGATGCATGAACATTGTTAAATAGGCATAAAAATCTGGACTCGTGATAAATAAATATGTGGAGCAACAAAATCTAATTTCACTATAAAACCCTGTTAAATTTGCCTTTATTTCGTCAAATGTAAAAATAATTACTTGTGAATGCTATGGCAAGACAAATTCAAAGCGACCATCCAATTAAATTTACATGAATACTTTATCATTATCTTATCTAGTTCCGGACTTGTGCATGACACATTTTAATAATAACTTCACGCCCCTAATGTACTACAATGATTTTATTATCCTCCGCGGGCGACAATCGACGTATGTTAACTGGAAACTGATAGTAACATACTTACACTTTACATTGTTTTTAAACGTCGAACGTAAAAAATGAATTACCGACATTGCCAAATAAAGTATTACCCCAATGAGACGAAAATAAATTTAAATATTTCAACATCCTCTTTAAAATTTATATCCGTTGATATATAAAGATCGCATGAAAAGTTCAAGATATAATAATTAATTAAACATAGTATACTAACTTATTGACTAATTTTGAATATTAAAAAATGCTGTGTTTTTTTGGTTAATGTCTTTGTCACGCAATTAACAGAGCTTTCTGCCTCTTCAACAATCCTCTACAAGAAACAAGGAAATACCCAGAAAAATTACAGTGTGATTGAGGAAACGGTTTCGCCAGTCAAAAGCCAGTTTCATTTTACATCATTTTGGTGAAAAGCAAAATCCTACCGCATTACGTAGTCTTACCTTGTAAAAGACATCCGGGACATATTGTTGTGGCGTGCAGTCCCTTATGTAGCCGAGATCGGGCGCATCGCGTGTCGGCACTAGTATTTCGTCACGCACTAACGCTGCACACTGACCGGAAACTTGGTAACCTTCCAGGTGGATTTGATTCTGGCTATCACCTGGATACAAATAAAGCCATTTATTTCAAGTAGAAAATAATAAGGTATATTAAAGGTTTAATATACCTTATTAGGTATACCTAAGTTTATAGACTAGGCAGTCACAATTACCAGAGCTTTATTTTACCAGACAAATCTAGATTCACAGCTGTGAAAACTATTACAAAGAGTGACAGTGAACAAGACCTCCTATGGCAAAATGCTTAAGAATAAAAAAATCTAGTCTTTTACCTACTTAATAGGCATAACTACATCAGACTAACGGGCGCAGTAGTGCGGCTGTCCTTTTCTTATGGGGACTACACACATACATACTCAGAGTTTGTATAATGATAACTAAATAAAAAAATTATAGCATACTAGCTGTGCCCTCGATTTCGTCCGCGTGGAATAGTGACTTGGAGTAGAATTTCTAATTATTGAGGCTGTATGAAAGGGCTCATTTAAGGCAGCTAATCTATGTTGTAAGTGCTACTTTACCCCACACTCTCACCTCACATCACTCCTACACTAACTCCCACTCTCATTCCTACACTCACTCTCACTCCCACTTCTATTCCTAAAAAGCCAAAGAAATGAAACTATTCATTGTTCTAGCTTCAAAAACCACGGATTTCCCTACAAACTTTCATCCTCTTTTTCTACCCGAATGAACCCTTATTTGGCATTAAAAGTCTTTCTCAGGCTCTAAAATATCTATCTACCAAATTTCATTTAAATCAGTTCAGTAGTTTCGGAGTAAAAGCCGGACAGACAGACAGACAGACAGACATACAGAGTTACTTTCGCATTTATAGATTAGCCCACATTCAGATTTTGACTAGAGTTTGTTAGGTTTTCTATAGTTAGTGATTACTAGTGCTATAAGCAGATTTGAAACAGCTTTTATAAGATTGGCGAATGAATTTAGTTATAACTAATTGGATAATTTCATATCTACTCACCCGTAACACATACAGTTACAAATTTGGAACCGAAGTAACCAGAAGACGCGTGTCTGCATGCGTTTGGATGCTGATTCTGGTAGTGGCCCGCCATTATACACTCTTGAGCTGATAGGAAGTGTGTATCCATGCCTCTGTGAAATGTGTACAATTTAGAGAATTGTGGTAGAATAAATCTTCTTGATTGATATCACACAGTCAAATCATTAAAAATATATACTTACATTTCTTTAGATGCTACCTTATCATTTTAAATAATTTGGCTCATTATACAACAAGTATTAATGGCTAACATCAGCATCGCCAAAGCAGCTTTAATGAAATCTATAGCTATAGTATTTACATACAAACAAAATTATTAGACTCTAGACAATTTTTACTTAACGTTGACGTTACGTGTTTTACTGTGCTTACCTGATGGTCTTAACAGTTCCAGCTGCCAGATTCAGTGGCATAAGATCAGTAAACATCCAGCCCACGCGCTTGAGGCCTAAACGTGATGCAATTTCATTTAAGATCTGTTCTTTATCATCCGGAGCTAGAGCAATATGATCCCTTGAACATTCTTGGGGCGGTTCGTATATCGCTGCTACGCGGGAACGTATACCTAGATTGAGAAGGTAAATGTAGGTAAATCAAGCTTAAACACTGTGGGGTCATCTATGAGAAAAAATAAAGTACTTAGCAAAAAAGTGACATCCTGTCTCCCCCCTCCACCACCAAGGGCCATACGGCGAATACGCTGCACTGTTCCAGTCTGTCAGGCAAGTAATCAGTAGATTTCTATGCCCTGCCCGATCTAAACTGTCTATTGTTTCCCAAGGATTCGAACCCAGACCTCTTGGCGTTAACGCAGTGCTAGGCAACATTTAGCAATTATCTACAGAGGTTGTCACTCAACAAGGATAAAAAAATGTGTGTTATGTAGTATATAATAAAAAGTAAGACAAAATGAAGGAATCATTGACTGCATACTAAGAATTATTATGTGGCCAATATTACTGTAGTGGCTGATTTCGAGACTGTGCTCAAAGAAGTGGAAACCTGGTTAGTGACACCTGCAATATACTTTCATATCTCTCATTTAACTAACCAATGGTACAGTCACCTTAGGCAAAAAAGGGCCAACCTCACAATTTCAGATAATAAGCAGGAAATCCGTACACAGCTTTATTTTGGTGTTCTAAAACTTTTTTTGCGTCAATAATTATTCCGAGGTCTAAGGTCGCAAAAATTTGTTTTTTTTTATTACCTCTCTTGCTATCGCTCAAATCACTTCTACCTATCATAAAAATTAAATATACGAAAATTTCCCACAACTTTTGTCTCAACTGTATTTCGAGGAGAGGCAAGATACACCGCGGAGAGTTGTGGGAAATTTTCGTATCTTTAATTTTTTGGTGAAATTCTAAGGTGACTGGACTACAACTAGTTTGCACTTATCTTGGCCAAACATGTTTCATTATCTTATCACAAAAACTCATTAACCAAACTTACCCAATGGAACATCAGGGTGCATTTCATACTGTCCATACAAAAACCCGATGCGCTGATGTCCAGTGGCACGCCAATATGCTAAAAAGCGGTCAACTGGCGTAGCGTGTTCTAAAAGCACGTTGTCTACATGCCGATAAGGTTGTCTGTTCAGAGTAACAGCTCCTGGTTGACATGTAGAACAAATACCACGAGGCCACGGTGGGTGCTCTTTACAACCTGTAATTATTACAGGAAAATCAATCTTTCTGCAGTAGTAATGAAGATAATGCTACTAGATTTAATATTTTTGTTAAGGACATATGTAAAATAATTTTCTTACTGGATAATTTCCATAAAAATAAGTATTATTTTGATGTTTTAATAATAAATTTTGCAATTAGCAATGGTCTTAAATTTAAATATCAGGGAAACATAATAATTATTTCCCTGTGCTTGATCATGTGGACATTAAAACAATCAGTGAATAAGAATGTCTTTAGTGGTGGTCCACTAAAAACATTTTTTACATGTAAAACTGATAATACTAATTCAAAAATATAAGTCTTACCTGGTTTAATTTTGCAAGACAATTCATCTAAAGATATAAATTTTCCTGAGGTCATTTTCCGTAAATATGAGTGGAATGAAATGTGCTTTATATTGTGTTCCTTTAGATAGTTTTCATCCCATGGCTCCAAGGGTGAACAGTGTACACAACATCCTTTTGAATTGTGGCGGCACCTGTAATAAAGCAAGGCTTGTATGGAATTAGTTAACCCAGTACCTTTACAAATGTTTTTAGCCTTACCTCACTAATACATGGATATGAAAGGATAGATTTTTTTATTATAATTCACACCTATTTGTGTGGAAGTTATTTTTTAGTCTAAGACAAAAACAAACATTTCTTACAGTTTATCATCTCTCTGCCGTTGAATATTGCCTGACAATTGATACAGTTGGAGATCTACTTCATCTTCCTGAGGAACATTTTGTTTTCTAAGGACACTTGGTGGTGCAGACAGTGAGGATGTTGAAGGGCCAGCTTCAATCCCAAATGGTTTATTAGTGGTCTGTAAATCATCCATATAATTTCAATTACTAACTTTACGCATTAAAAATGATTTATCTGTCAATACTATCTACTTATTACTATTGGAATATGTATTAACAATTTTAAATCAAAATTTATTAAATGAGCATACAAATGTTCATGAAAATAAACTCCAATTAGAACCTAATAGACTGGCACTGAGTTAATATACATTAATAGCAGAGACATTTAGGTGAAGTAAAACTGGTAGTGTTTGACTATACCTCAGTGCTAGTAGAAGGTTGATCAAAGAGCACAGCTCCATTCACAGGACTCATATAGACCATATCCCCATGTTGCAAGCCATATTCTTTGATTTTACGAGACTTGCTAGATATAATCTCATCTTTGTGTGCGCGATCTTTATGTAGGGCGAATCCAAATGTGTTGAGATGAAAAGATTCGAAAACACGCTCGTACAATTTCGCCGTTACTTCTGTGTCCAACACTTCGATACGGTTCGTACCCTCGGATGACTGTACACGCAGAATCTGCAAATGCAACATTACAAGAGGTCAACTACAAAGCCAATAAGTTTATGACAATACGTTGAAATTTTGCCGAGTCATCACATTTTATCATCCGGTCATAGTAATTGTACAGTTTAATTAAATCTTATGTAAACCACAATGGTGCTTTAAAACAGCAATTGCTGTATAGAAGCAAAACTGTTGAAGAAAATTTTAAAAGTTAGCCCATTGACTGCTAAAGTTTTTAACCAGAATTAAGAATAGAAGTCATTGGATATGGTTCATGTGGATCTTTTCAATAAGTGGACAATAATTGAAATTGAATAGTAATAATTACCATTTTCTTTGACCCTGACATAGTGTTTTCCAAAATAATTATCACACAAAATTATGACTTTATTGACAAAATCATGACATACACAATGACATGACAATTTTTTGAATCACAAAAGTCCTACTGACAGTATACAATTTTATCTTGTATATAATCTATATAATAGTCAGAACCTGTGGAATAAATATAATATTATAGAATAACATTGTCTTATAGAGTAATAACCGCTCTCAGCATTTTCTTATCTGCAATTTTGAAGTTTGTTATTTATTTTTACAGGTTTATATGAAGTTTAGACTTAAGGAGATTATATATCATTAATAAGCTGATTTTCGTCTTAAAATAATTAGAATTAGAAATTACGCGTTAGACCTAATTAGTTGTTTTTTGGATTGAGTGACAAATTAAAACCAAACCATATGATTTTAAGATTTATTGTTCACCATTTTGGCCAGTCGCGAAAAAAAGACTACATTTTTTATCAATTGTTTTATTTTTTCACAACTCATCATGTCACTGAGGTTCAGATTTATTTACAAATAAAAAATGTTTAAAATTAAAGTAGAAAAAATCAGATAAAATAATCTTAATCATTAAAGTTTAACATCTACATTGTCAAAAAGAGCAATAATAAAAATTATGGATATACAGCTTTTCTGCTTTTATTACATTTTTTAATGTACCGATATGCCGAAATCAAGTGATTACTAATTTATTGAAGCAATTAGCAATATTGTTAGTATTTCCAACAATTTAGTTATCACATCTACAGGTTGCGTTAAAATAGGTGAGAACGACGGAGGACGATTCCAGTGTTATATTAATAGATTAGTATCGTTTCGTGTGGGAGAAATGTATGTGATGAAACGGCGCCAGATCACAGCAGCGTTATACAGGTGTTGACCGCGTTGCATCGACTCTGCAATGCACTTGTAAACTTATATTTACTGTAAACAATATTTAAAACAAGTTGACCAGTGTTTAACAACTTCATCAGGATTTTAAACATTAGTGAACTAAGGAAAAACACTAGGTACGTTTTATATCTACAAATAGGTTGAATTAACTGAAGAAAGTTTGTAATTAATATTTTAACTCCTATTAGATATTTTTTATGTAGATGATGTACCTACATAAAAAATATTTGCAATTATGATGTGCACTACTAAAGTTTTCAAAGTATTTTACTTAACTTTTTAACTTAAACACAAAACATTTGGTCATCAATATATAAAATAACATATTTATCATATGAAGTTAAAAGTATTTTTACATAATAGAACCCCTATTATGTAAAAATACAAGGTATTGATTTTTAGTTTATAAACACTTTTTTAAATTTACTTTTTACTAATTTATGGTTAATATTGCAATTTTATAGTTAACCAAATCAAGTCCCAAGATGGCCTCAGAAGGTGTTCCTGTTGATCTTTACATCTATGACTTAACAAATGGCCTGGCATCGGTATTGTCTCCCAGCATATTAGGTATGTTATGTATCCATACTTTGAAATCAGTTATTTGGTTCTGCTAATTCCTTCTAACTGTGACCATGATATAATGATACTACTTAGAAGGAAATATATTATTGTTTTATCTAATAGTAGCACAGCACTGCGGTAAGCGCAAGTGGTCCTCAGTTTGAATTCTGGGTAAAACATTTGGTCATTGGAAGTTTGACCATTCCTGTAAATCAAAATTTCTTAAATATTTGAAATGCAATGGAGTTACATTATATTCAATAAACAGTGTTAAAAAGTTATGTCACCTGGAATTCATGCGGACTAGAAAAACAACTGTGACCTAAATCTCAAACTATTTAGCCATCATTAACACACATATACTAAGCATTTGTTTTTTTCATAACAGTTCACAAAGTGATAAGACTGAATTAAATTTTACCCCTTCCTTTTTAATTTTGTACATCTTAAGTTAAGACATCAGTCATTTTTAGTTTCAACATCATAAAACAAGTCATCACCTTTAACTCCAGACAGAAGTTTTTAGAAAGTTTAGAGAAGTTTAAGTATATGCCATTTGTTAGCTGCCCTTTATTTAAGATTATAATTTTGTTAAATTATTATTTTACAGGGCACAAAGTGGAAGGAGTCTGGCATACCGCAATAGTAGTCTATGATCGAGAGTATTTCTACGGTGGTTCAGGCATCGCTAGTTTTGCACCGGTAAGTATTAAAATGATAAGAACAAAGACACTAATACCCCAATTAGTACTACCATGTTCCGTGTCGTGAACAAATCGGTTACACAGACTGTTATAAAGTAGGGGCCAATAACATCGCACATGTCTTCATGATCTCCATCTTGACAGCATTGGCAATGTTGAATGTTGGCAGCGCAAAGCCGTTGTCCATTGTAGATTGCAGGGTTGATAAGTTTTAGAGTGATGAAAGTGTATTATGTATCTAACATAGCGATTTAAAAAAGACACGTTTGGATCTTGTGGTATAACCACACGATCTTCGTTCGTAGGGCTATAAGTAAGATTTCCAGCTGTGCACCTAAAACTTTGTGTATGTTCTACCAAATTCTCTAAGTGAGAACATGGTGAGGAACCTTGATGTCTTTAAACGATGAATTCGTTTTTCCTAGGTCCTGAATGCCAGCTGTGGGAATTTTTAATAGGCAAAATGTGTTTAAACGCTTTTAACAAATTCGTATTGAGTAGTTCCAATGGAGAAAAGTCATTGGGACATTTTACGTCGTTATGCGATTTCTTTTTTTAATATATTTTTTAAGCTGATAAAGCGGTCGGCGTAGAATGCCCACGCCGGTCTCTATTTTTGTACGCGACATACCTAATAGTTGCATTTGTTAAAAACTTTATGAATCATATCTTTACGTCGTGTTTACGATATGATTACGATTTTTTAATATATAAGACCGTAACAATGTATCTGTGCCAATAATTTCCGGGTAATAATTCTTCACTGTCATCAATTCATATTGATAGTGGCAATTAAAGTTTTCGGCATACATTCGCGAACGTATGCAATATGTACCTGCGGATCTACGTACGTATCGTATTAATATTAGCGTACTATTAATATACTAAGCGTGTGTTTTATTTTTGTCAGTTCTATATGGCATGACACGTTCCATGCGACGATTACGTCTTAACGAATCCCAAATAAAATGCTGAAATCTATTCGTAAATGAAAAATACGGTGCCCATATTGACTGCTCATCAAATCCAATTGTGTAATACGCTGATGGTAGACATTAACTTTTAAATCAAACACTTTATCGGTTTGAAACACGATACATATATATAAGTTAAACTTATTTGTAAATTATTTTTAACTACGGCCCGACGTTTCGGATGCTTGGCAGCAGCCGTGGTCACGGGGAAAAATTAAATTTTCAAATAACCTAACATATATCGCGTTTTAAACTGTTAAAGTGTTTTATTTAAATGTGTACTGGCGTAATATACAGACAGTATTTAGGCATTAAATTGATCTTTGTATGAAGGAGGTACATGACAACACACGTATTTAATTTTTTTTTATTGAATTGTAAAAAAATGGCAAAGTTTGTATAAGTAAACCATAAAATCTTTAAATTCTTAATCATCTATACTAATGTATAAAGCTGAAGAATTTGTTTGTTTGAAAGCGCTAATCTCAGGAATTTTGAAGTTAAAAATTCGTTTTGTGTTGGTTAGAGCATATGTCGAGGAAGGCTATAGGCTATAAAACATCGTCGTGTGAATAATAGGAGCGACGATACAGCGGGAATTGTGACAAAAATTGGGCAAATTATTCATCATTATGGGTTTCCGAGGCGTACGCTCCAAAAACAGTATAAGATGCCCAAAAAATATGTATGAAAGAATGATTCCTCTTTAAATGATCTAAAAAAAAGTCCTCGACGTTATATGTCTATCTTTAAAGATTATCCCGCAAGGACGACGGGAAGGGACGCGACCGACATCGTATAAAATAACACGCAGGCGAAGTCGCGAGCATACCAGCTAGTTATAAACAACACCAAAAGAAAAAGCGTTTTGCATCTTATTCAAATTATTCTCTATACTTTCTCTTTCTTAAAATAAAGGGTTATGATGTAAGTCGGGTGAGAATTTATAATTACGAAGATTCCATTACAAACGAGAAAATGATGTAATCGTTTATATCGTCATTCCGGTATCATAAACGCGCAGGATACGTCCACCCAATAAAGACCCCGGTTTATTTGTGAATGACAACGTTCCTAGTTTCAACATACACTGGTTATGTTTATTTCATCTGGTTGTAAATTCTCTGGGAAGAGAAGCGGGCTCGGCGCCAAGCTGACATTTAGGAAATAAACAGTGCTCTTCGCATATTTCTCAATAATGCGTATGTTAATTTATCGTTGATTTCACCTTTGAGTCCCTGATGTCGTGGGATACGGAAATAGTTTATCAAACACAAGAAAAGCGATTTCTGTATTTTATTCTGGCAAATAAGCATGCTTTTCGTTATATGACAGTTTTAAACGTGTCATAGGATCTTAAACACAAGATGAACAATGCACTCTTGCGCATCTGTCTACACATCCTTACTTTTATCCTTGTCTTACTTGTGTAGCTCCGTTCCACTGATACACTACATTTATTTCGAAACATACATGTATCATAAATAAATCGTATTTGTAAATATACAACGTAAGACATATTTATATACCTACTATTACGAAAAAGAAGACCGCCTCTGTAGTTTAATGGTTGAATATGTTGCCTAGCATTGCGTTAAGCGCGAGAGGCTCGAATCCCGGGGAAATAGTAAATTGTTTCGGTCGGGCAAGGCACAGAAGTCTGATCAACTACTTGCCTGTAAATAAAACCGATCAGTGTAACGGACACAGAAATGTGTTCGCCCTATGCCCCACGAGGGGAAACGGGATTTCACACACACAAAAAATAATAACTATCTTCTCATTCAATTTTATTGTTTTATTACAGGGGAGCACTCAGTTAGGAGCACCACACCAAGTGGAAAGGCTCGGGCACACATGTGTGCCGTTTCAATTATTTAACGAGTACATAGAGGGGTTAGCTACATCAACATACGCGTAAGTACTTATCTTCGATATGAATGGCGAATACGAAATAAACTACTACATTTGATCTACTAGTAAACTGGCATTGATACACTTTTTTATCACACACAATTCAGCAATAAATATGACGCTATCTTGCATTGTACGTAAAGAAATGATATTGAATTAAAGTAACTAAAGAATGTTTTATTCCATGCTGGAGAAGAAAGTTATCTGAATGTCTAAGATTAAATTGTGACGTATTAATGCCCTGAACCTGCAAAAATATCCCGGAATTCGAAAACAATACATCTCATCGCAATAAAACGTTTTATGTTAGAGTGAATATACTTTTGTATTGTCTAATCATTGAATAATAATAACATAGGTCGTTTATACGGCCAGATGTTGCAATTATAATGTCGACATTTTATATAAGTAAGATTATATGGACCATGTTTGTTACAGGGGTTCCGCATACCACCTCTTTGAGCACAACTGTAATCATTTCTCAGACGAAGTAGCACAATTTCTATGCGGTGCACATGTGCCTAAACATATTTTATCGCAAGCTGAAAGAGACCTACCGGCGCCTCTTAGAATGGCGTTGTCATCGCTACTGGGGCAACTTGTACCGGATGGAACACAGGTGGGAAACCATATACTTGTGCCTCGTACTGTATACACACAATGCATGCAAAAAAGATATTGACATAAAACAAGATCTTCAAAAATTACTCTAAAAATATTAATTGTGGTCTAAAAATATTGTTGTCTTAATTTTCAACACAGTTTCTACATAATGTATATGAAATTATAAAATATATTCATATTCTATAAATCCCATATTCGCAGAAAACTATTACCGAAAAGTCGGGCAAGGGGAATAAAAAGTGCAGTGGGTCAAGTCAGGGCACGCCTCCTTAAATAAATTGATATCGTAAGTTAATTTTAATTGTAAAACTAATTTCATGAATGTTGTCGTAGAACTAAAACATATATAATATATATGTATTTTGATCGTAGTCCAATGTGAATTGTATTGTAAACGCAGGAATTAGTTTTATTTTTGTGTTATAAGGCAACAATATTTTTAGCTGGTATACCGTATACGATAGAAAGGTTGCAAATGAAAAGCGTTGTACGGCGTAACCCCTGCGTTAAATACCCAAAATATAACTATAACCGTTTAATTTGTGTCTTTTCCCACAGGCCGTTTACGCAAATGGAGTACGCCACAGCCGACAAGATAGCCCCGACTACCTTACGCTCAATAACCAAATAGAGGAAGCTAGGTATGTTTGTAACAGAATGCGTGCTTAATTCAATTACTTAATAGTATACGAATATGCGCATGCGCATATTTGACAAATTTCACCACAATATGTGTTAACAAACAAATGACGGGTTCGTCCGTGTAAGGGTGCTACCATTACACCAACGAGACCGTCACATTTATGCTAACGTGTTATGGGTTCGTTCACCACGGGCCTGACATGTTTTAAATAATTTAAAACATGGTGGATATCGTACCTAGATAGACCTGGATATTAGATGGGCAGATGAAAAAGGCGTAAAGTTTAATTGTGTTTCGGTTTCCGTCACTTCTTTAGATGTTATATGGCTAGGCTATTATACCTTCGATTAAGTGAACCCCCATGCTTCTCCGTGCTCTTCTATCCAAAAACAAAATCAAAGTATCAATTAACTTCCTTTAGGTAGTTTGAAGTCTGTTTTGGTGTAGGACCCAGTCGCGTACCCGAAATCGGTCATTTCAAGCAGCTACAGCCAGCCTTTGCATGGTTTTTGTCATATTGCGCACTAACAAATTGGGCAGCCTGTTGCATAGGACGTTACAAATGTAATTATGTTATCCTTTTTTTTAAAGACTTCCGTATCTTTTTCTATTTTAAAGACTTAACACGTCCTTCATTGCTCTAAAACCTTTTCTTGATGAAACTCCGCGTATTGTTGTAGCTGTTTCTAGAACTTTAACAAATTGTGTGGCTTAGGTCCAACGGAAACCACGTGCGGGCACTTCGGGCTGCAGCTGCCGGTTTATGCGTCCTCCTTCGTGCCGCTCACGCTTATCGTACGCTTCGTAGAAATCAGCCAGATCAATCGCGGCCCTTCTAGAATGTTCTGAGACTTAGTTTCAGCTTGTTGACACATTCCAATTAATATGATTTCTAAATAAAGACTATATGAGATCAGCGGTGTCTCATTTGTAGAATAGAACATTGCAAATTTAGAAGGTCGATTTCTATGATGAATGGTTTTTAAGGCATATAGTAAAAATCTTTAGGAATGTGAAACTCACAAGAAATTTTAAACAAAAACCTTAGAAAGATACAATATTGTACATAAATTTAGGTCGTATTTTTCTTAGGATAGTCTCGCAAGAATTAGACGCGAAGAGAAGTACAATAGCGGAAAAGTTGGCTCGGAAAGAGAGGAAAAAGGAGAAGAAGCGAAAGAAGCTACGCGAACAGGGTGGAACTGGCGATGATACAGAGGGTAAGTTATTAGGTAGGTTTTTATAGAAGCTCTGTGTTAACGCTCCAAACGTGTTATTTTTTTTTATTTGTTTATTTAAAATAAGTAAAATCTTTGGTACTAGGCGAAAGTTTTGGAGACAGTCGATTAGTTTGAAGGGTTCGCCGTTGTCAACGGGTCGTGGGTGTGATCACCACCCAGTCTAATATTTTTCTAGACAATTTATAATTTTTCTACAACATGTTAGACTTAATCTGCTCATTAAACGGGTAGCAAGAATATCGAAAATCCGGATCACAAACTACCGTCCATAGATGAAAAAGCCGTAAAGTTATTAAATCGTTTTTCGGTTTCAATCTGTGGATTTCCAAATAACCGAAAATAGGTCGACATCGCACCTTGTTTAAATGTTATTTATTTATTTATTTCACACTTACACCAAACAGAACATACAGATACTATGCCATTTAAAACTATAGAGTGTACCGGGGGGCGTTATGGCTATAAGCGATCTCTTCCAGGCAACCCGAGTAGAAAGAGACTTAACGATTAATTAAAAACAATTTACAGTGTGCAAGAAGTGCGAAGCTTACTAATTACTTAATATTACTTAAACTAAACAAAATAAACTTAAATTAATAATAATAAAACCTATCAAAATAAAGGTATTTAGGTGGGGTGAACCCCACTCCACTATCCCACACCCCCACAGAACTGTCTGTAGACCTCTGTCATAAAAAAATTCAGGTCAGATGTATACTATTGAATTGAGTAGGTGTACTACTGAAATATAATAAACAATCATGAAAATTTATAAAAATATGGGCAAAATAAATGTTTAAACTACGTTTAAATTTTAAGTCAATGAGTGTTAATCCAGCACTTCCTTTACTGATTATTATCATAAAATGCAACTGGGCGGGCGTTAAGCCAGTGCAATTAATAATATTAATGTAAGATTTGATATCATCAATCATTTTTCAAAATTCACAACAAGTCATAATTTAAAAGTTTGAATTTGTTCTTGTTTTTATAAACATAAATTATACATACATTATGGATGGCAAAGAATAATGTTATGATTGATTTTATCTCCACATCATTTCATACCCTTTATGTTATTTTGCTTAAAGTAAAATAAATATTTTTTTATTAATCTTATGTTCACTTTTTTGAAATGAAATATCAATGAACTTGTTTTCATACGGAACACAAAACAAAGGTGTTGACTTACACATTTATAGAACTAAGAACATTGCTAGACAAATGTGATCGACCTCGTCTATTTATTCCCTGCCCAGTTGAACGATCCCTAAATAGGACGCCACTCGAAACCCTATCTGCTCTAGATATTTGCAAAATCTTGCATGAAAATAAAAATGTATGCAAATCAACACAGTTCCCAACATATTAATGCATGGGGAATCTATGGTTTTGTGTTTAGATGTACGATTATAAATATAATGCGATGAGCCATCGTCCGCTGTTTTTTGGCGTTTCGCCAGCACTCGCCGTATGCGAGGCAGTTTTCTCGCGGCAAGAGAAGTGTTACCATCGTTTGGTGACCGGTGATTCGAAGGTAGGTCAGGTGGAAAAGGTATATTTGTGGTTATTTCTGTCGCAACGTGGGTTGCACGTGTTTTCATGTAGACGTTGAGAAATCACTCAAAATTCAAGCTATTTGATGTGAAGCACTCTTCCGTTTCGCAAAACGTGCCTAAAATTGTTGTCGACATCGTTAGTTAAGTGCGCGTGCGTTTATTTTTTACTTTTAATTCGAAGTGGAACACTAAAACACAAGTTAGTTTGTGCAACGAAAATAACTTTGAGATCGCGAATCTATTTATCGAGCCTCATAAATCGACGTTTTATTTTGTCGCGTCGTTTTATTATTCTTCGTGTATGTACTGATCTTGAATAAACATTTTTCAGATAGGATACAGACCGAATTGCTTGTGGCTTTTCAAAGCCAAATTACGTATTAAAGATGCTAAGAATAAAAACAAAAGTATTTAACTTGCATTGCTGGGTTTTTGCATTACTAACTCATCATGGTTCGTAATTGCAGAAATGGCAGAAGCTATGGAAGCCGTGGAAGCCAGAGAGCCTGTGTCTCTCGCAGGGCCAAGCTCTCGCGACCTTGACGTTGAGGCTGAAGAGCGTCGCGCAGAAGAGGAGCGCAAGAGAGCGAGAGACCCTCCAGTTGTCTATAGAGACATTGATGTAAGTCGATGACACCATAAATGAAAGAAAAAAGTAACAGATCGATGCTGATCTCGATCTCGTTACCTTTGACTGTTCGTATCATCTAATTATTACCTGTATATATCTATCAGTCGATTTTTTTATGATTGAGTCCTCCTGAGACAAACAAAGTGCGCTTTCGACCAATTTTGGCTTTGGATCCGGTAGTTCACGGATTGAAAAATGAAACGCTCTTAAACTCCACGGCTTTTTCAATATAAACGAACGTTCGTCATCCAGACGGAATTTTCACTTTTCCTGCCACCCATTTAATACCTACATTTCCAGATGATTTCCATCATGATTTAGAAAAATAGAAATTCATTAGACAAATAATGGTCCCGGTGGGGATCGAAGCCACGCCCTGTGATTATTAGCCAAACAATCTTACCATTAGACGAATTTTAAAACAAATCTAGGTACTAGTACGTTTATTTGTATACAATAGTCTTGTATTCCGTATTACAATGTAGCAATTGTACATAGTATAAAACATTTATCTTAAGTTGCATATTATTACAGGATATTCATAAAATATTTATGGCTCCTACTTTATTTTTGAACGCATGTTTATGCATTCATTTAATGCATGCAATGAGTCATTAGGAACATGTATACTAAAATGATTTCAGAATGTCTGGAAATACACGTACAGAACAAACATTTTTTATTTTATAGAACTATATACTCCGAACTATTCTAAAATACTTCTAGGGGTGTACTTTTGAGCTTAACTTTATAGTTCGTACATAATATCAGATCTAAAAAAAAACAAGAATCCTACTCACTCAATTTTTTTATGATAGATGAGGACAGTCAATCATTGGGTTCTCATGATGGTAGGTGACCCTAGCCAAATAACATTTCAACAAGATGCGCTGTCGTTGTATGGGTGTGATTTTTTGCTTTAGATATTCGGAAATCCACAGACTGAAAACGAAACTTTACACCATTTTTCATTTGTGGATGGTGGATTGGACCGATGGAATTTCGATAATCCTGCCTCTATTTAATACCTAGATTTCCAGACGAAGTCTAACAAGATTCAGACAAAAATTTATTGATTGTGGACCCGGTGGGGATTGAACGACCCGTTGATTATTTGCAATACGTTGCTATTAGAACAACGAACCCGTCAAATTTTATCAATTGTAAGGTCAATGTAATAAAAATCGTATTTACATCTCTAAGTTAACTAGTATGATTTTGTTATAAAAGAAAAACAAACATCTTGATCCTAGCCAACTAAAATGCTACGGAATTTGTTATATGGTATTTTCATAAAGTGACTCTTACTGTGTTTATTTATATGAGTGATGTAAACAATTTATGTCAGCGAGAGTTGATCGCTTTGGCTGTAATGTGCCAAGCGTTTCTCCAGATAGCTTCCATTGCAACGTGACAATGTCGATTTCTAGCCAAAACATAGATATACTGTTGTACTATGTGGTATTATAATACCTTTAATATGCATATAGCATATGTTACCTATGTTCTGGTCATTTCTTTTTCTTTTTTTATCACTTATCTAACTTTGAGGCCAAAAAAATTTTTAAAATAAAATTGTAAAAATAAAAAATAATAATTAAATTGAACTGTATTTACTTTTGGTTTTGTTTGTTTTTTATCGATTATGTCACATCCCATCCAATCTTTACTCAACAAACTCGTCTCAATATATTCTTTACTATTTGCAGGGTGCGCAAGAGTTTGAAGTTTTCTCAAAAACTTTGGAAGGCGTGGAGCTATCACCTGAAGAGAAACAGAGTCTTGACGAGTTACAACAATATTTAGTGCAAGGGGAAGGAAGTTGGGTGCTTGGCGATGATTTCCTTAGTTTCATTGGTAATTTTTTTAAAGATTGGTCATTGGTATACCAATATTTCAGGTGAAGGCCGGTTATGAGAGTGAAAAAAAATTGTAAAAGAAATTTAGAATTTTACAAATCAACAAAATTTGCACTAAATGTGTCTGGAGTTTACGCGAGTAGTACACATTTAAATAAAACACTTTAACGTTTTAATACGCGAATTAGTTAAAAAATCAATAAGGAGGACTGTCTCAATTTATCAAAACCTGGGATTCCACATTAAATTTCCAGGACACCGTTAGTCAATCGTGCAAAGATCCGGCCATTTTCGCGAAATACCAGCTACGACGGAAAAGATGGCGCCAGCATAGCAGTTTTGACATTAGAGACCTCCATCTTTAGTCTTCTTCTGACTATGGCTGCTGCAAAGGTTCCAAACTGTCGGGGCATAGTTAAAAATATGTTGTGAAGAAGTTTAATATTTCCCATTACCGTTCAAGATCATTTGCTATTCATCGATCTTCTTCTTGTTAATTGATAAACTGCTGGATCCCGTTATAGACGCTGTTTAACTATATTCGCTATCCACAGGTCGTGTGCTCTCCGATCTAAGTATAAAGAGCGAGGCTCGTTGCGCTGCTCTGCGTTGCCTTGCCGCGAGTGCCTTACGCGACGACGTATCTCTGGTGCTGCATCAGGATAGGCGTCAACACGCTCTACTTGGCTACGCGCATTCTATAGACTTGTTGCCGGTTGAGGAACAGCGGGCTCTTGGACTATTCGTGAGTTTTAATTAAGAGTATCCTATTTAAAAACGATTGGGTTTCGAACTAATTAGGAGTTAATCTATGCTAATATTATAAAGGTGAAGAGTTTGTTTGATTGAACGCGTTAATCTTAGGAACTACTGGTTCAGCAAAATAACTATTCTACGGCAAGGGTAACGGTAACTATTCTTTGGTAAAGGTCTGGTTCATCTTAGCCATTATATAACTATAACGACGATATTTTTAACGTACGTCACTTACGGTAACAGACAGGTGAAACAACTATTATGCGGTCTTTTGAGGACTATTATGGGTTATTTTCTCTGTTTGCGTCATGTAATTCAATTTAAAAGGAGATCTTGTGTTTATAGGTGTGTAATCTGTTCGAGAACACGTCATCATCAGAATGGTTGCTTTACATCAGCGAATGGGAGTACCGTGGACACGCGCTATCCAATATAAGGGTTACCACAAAGGTATGCATAACTAGACAACTAGTGATTATTCGTGTCGCGTATAGCGTGTGGAGGTTCTTTTGTAACTGAGCTATAGTATTTTTCATTTTATTTTTAGGTCTGCGTCCAGTGCATGTTGAGCGAGCAAACAGATCTACGCGAATACGGTACAGCGCTGCTCTACAACATCGCCAGCAAGGAGGTAAAAACCGTGGTCTGTATTTTTCATTATATTAGGCGTTGCGTAACTAACATAATCTTCATACTTACTATAATTTTGTCTATCGATTATTGCTTCCAATAATAATGTTAATTTAGAGCCGTGATTGTCATTGTAACGAAATTGTGGTCAGCGCGTGAGGTCGTCGATCCCGGGGAAACAATTTATTTCGATTAGGCAGGGCACATAAGTCTGATCAACTACTTGCCTGTAAAAGGGCCGATCACTGAAACGGATACAGCAATATGTACGCCCTATGTCCCACGAGAGGAAAAGAGATTTTACTTAATTGATTTTTTTCATTAACTAAAAAATTATTATAAAACCTTCATAATTTGATACTCAGTATATACATTTAAAAAATTTAAAAGATGTGTTATTTGGTATTGTCTGAGCGTTCTCACTAAAGTAGGGTTTTGATTTAGTCCTGTTATTCCTGCCTATGCCTATGCCTATGATAACATTGTTTTTAAGCGCCATCTATTGTTTTGCCAACGTGTTATATTTGTAAGCTTGTAAGATATAAACAGTGCCGCTGCAGAGCTGTTTAATGTTCCAGCGGCTGGGTTTGGGCGGAAAGATTCGTCAGCAACTGCATTCATCAGCCAAATTTAAGGTATCGGTGCCTATTGGGGTACGCCCTTAGACCTACTGGGCTATAGGGGATATGCGGCGTATGTATGTTGTTGTTTGATGTTCTAACATGATCAGTTAATAACTTCAGCTCTTATTGGAAGTCGCCTATTTCAAAAATTTAGAACTCATCAATTGTTTTCATTGAAATAACTTTTCATACATTTACTATAACATTAAAAAACTAAACCTCCTCAATATGTACAAATAATTCAGGCTTGCTATTCTGTATTCCTATAATATTTTCAAAGCAATTTGTATAGTGTCTTGTGTAATATATCAAATAACAAGCCAATTTGAATATAATATAGACAACGAAAATAAATAAATACTTAGAAGCGTTAATTAAGGAATTAACAATGTTTGCCCAGAACTCAACGAAGTGTGTTAAATAAACTGTTTCGGGGAAGTCTGTTAATATTATAATGGCATATTTAATAGTACTAATGCAATCATTATTTTGTGATAAGGCATTTTTACGCGTTTTTCCTTATTCACTTTTCTAACAGTCTCCTGGAATTTACAAAAAGAAGATTAAGAAGTTAATAGATTTTATTCTGACAACTCTTATACATACTGTTGCTATACCTTCTCAATCCACAGACTGAAATCGAAATGCGATTAAACATTCGAGATTTATTACATTTTGTTCTGTGGACGGTGATTTCGTGACCCAGCCGTGGTAACATGCTTCAGAAATTAGAACATGAATAGAAATTATAAATTTATTAGAAACATGTTGGATCCAGTGGGGATCGAACCCACGATCTTTTGATTATTAGCCATACATTGCTTTCATCATATATTTATCTTAAACTAGCTGAGTCAGCGACTTCGTACGCGTGGAATAGTTACTTTGGGCATCCAAAATTGTTTTTGCAAACTCTTACCTACGTCATCGGACGCGTCCCATCGCTAGCGACTCGACGTTCTTGTAAGTTCGTCTTAAGTTATAGACGTATACTGACGGGGACATTTTTTTGATGACTTAAAAAATAATTATTCTCTAATACATATATTTTTTGTGTATCTTGAATCATTTTCGCAACGTACGCATAGGAAACCTACAAAGATTAATTTTCCTACTTCTACCACATTTCCCGCTGTTTCTTCGCTCCTTTGAGACACAGCGCAATGTTTTGATAGCCTTCTTCAATAATAAAAGTAAAACTAACCCACAAAGAATTTTTCAATTCTCACCATTAGTTCCTGAGATTAGCGCATTCAAACAAATAAGCAAACAAACTCCTCAGCTTTATATATTGGTATAAATATGTCTTAAGACTTAAATATACACATATAAAATTGGACTATTTTCATTATGAAATCCCACGGCCGTGAAAGTTAGTAGGTAAATCCTTATCAGTGTAAACTAGAGCGTCGTAAATTACATCTGCTTTTGTTTGTGTAAAATCTACTCTATGGCTTATTTACCGTTTATTTGCGTTTCTTACTACGTTTATGACGTCGACAAATTTGAAAATTATATAGATCATTTATAATTAAAATAAATTATTTAAAACCTTACGCCGTGCGCCTTGTATGATACAAATTGACAGGCTTTTATAGTTTGTTAAATACGCGTAAAAAATAACAACTTAACTTTAAAAAATCAATTTCATCTTCCATTCTACAGATTCAGTAATCAGGCTACTAGGACAGTAGGCGCTAGATAACAATGAAAATTATTTGTGAAAACAAAAACTAAATATAGATATGTTTGCTTTCATATGTTTATTAATATACTTCTAAAGATAATTGTGTTTCAATTGTTATTTCGCACATTTATGAAATGAATAAAAATACGTATATTTAATATTATTTCGTAATTATACAATATCTCATTCAAGAAAATTCATATACGAAGTAGAACGTAAATTTATCGCATTTTATCACACAACAAATAACAAGAGATTATTTAAATAAGAATATTACAAAATTTGAGGACGCTCAGACAAAAATTGTTTAGATAACCTTTTTATTCAGTCTCAAAGATAATATCCTTGCTAGCTTTATAGTGCTATTGGTGTATAATTCGAATTAAAATATGTAAGAAATACACGTATATGATAATTTGAGCTCCAATTACTGTAAGTGGATTTGACCCTCAAAATGCCTACAATTTATTAAAATGTAGACTTCTCTTTCTCTCTTCCACTCTTCGTTCTCTTTCTATTCAAAAATTTTTCACTTTGCCACAAAGATATCTCCTGCGAATTTGTGTTTTTGACAGGTGTTCGACGAGGTATGCGTTGAGCTGGCGATGGCTGCCCTACAATTGACGCAGTATGAACCGGAAGAGGAACATCTATGGCGTACTCTGAACGCGTTGGCTCGTCTCGCGCAACATTCGTCTGAAGTACCACAGCTAATTGCCATCGTCGGACCAGATCCTAGTGCATACAGGTATGACTATGTAAATAACTGGTCACTTTTGGAAGTCACTACAGTTAAAAACAAAAGACGGTTATATGTTTTTGGTTATGGCCAACACCCAACTGCCTTATTCCAAAGATCATTATATCGAGTAATTTTGCTTTTTAAAATAAAACACCTTAACGGTTTAAAATGAGATTTATATCAGTAAATCTTATTTGAAAATGAATTTAACTACGGCCCGACGTTTCGGATGCTTTGCAGCAGCCATGGTCACGGGGAAACGTCGGGCCGTAGTTAAAATAATTTTCAAATAAGTTAAACTCGCGTTTTAAAACGTTAGTGTTTTTTTCAAACGCCTAAACTGCGACATTGACATTATGTAATTTAGCTCATTGTCTATTTTACGCGTATTAATCGATTCTTAATCTATAGCTATGAATAATAAAACGTTTATTTTGACGCAAAAATTAGAGCTTATTATTTACACAAATACAAAATATATAGCTTATATTAAATGTTATATTTCTTACTGCACCATGTTTTACATAATTGGCTTCAACGTTATTTGATACGTAAAATTTGGTGACAGTTGATTTTTGGCAATAGCATTTACAAACATAACTTTTTCGTTGTTTCCAGGGGCAGAAGTTCGCGCGTAGATGAACAAATAGATATAATCATGAAGAAAGTTAAGTGAAGTCGTATTTTTTAGGGGCGGGGGAATTTTCATTTGTTTAACTACTTTTTTTGAATATTATGCAATTGTATTTAATATATTACTGTTAAAATTTATTGATGATTTTTTGCTTTGAATAGCTAATAGCTAGAAGGTCAAGCTTAAGTCTTAGTTCTAGTATTTATTTGTTGAATTTATTCAAAGTTTAGTTTAAGTACCTGTGGTTACCTTTCTAAATTACGTGAACAATGAACATGGTGCATTTAAATATGATTCTAAATACCTTTGTATTGAATAACTAATTGGTTGTATGGAATTATATATTGGTATTTATTTTATGTGGTTTTATTTCAATGTCTCCATTGTCATACCATAGATAACGTCACAGGGTCATAGATTGGGGACGTCTATAGCATTATTTTTTTTAATATATAATCTATGATAAGTATATAGATGTAAAGTTTGTTCTATTACTCAGTATTGGGACTTATCATTAACAAATACAAATAGCCCTATTATGGAATACAGACTAAAGGTCACATTAGCTTCAATACTGTTATTATCTGAATGCTAGTATTTACTCAACAGCTTCGGACAGGTTTGTCATAAAGATAATGTTAGGAACCGAAACGCCAGTGCTTCTGATCATTGCATAGCGTTTGAACGTATGGCATAGATAAGACTATGGAAATAGAAGAGGGGATTCCGCTGCCAAAGGCAAAACCTGTGGGAGGATGGTACGAGTTCTGCAAGCGAAGGCTACCGATACTAGAGTGGGCTCCCAAGTATGACAGGACGAATGGCATAGCGGATTTAATTGCTGGGATCACGCTGGGTTTGACTCTGGTGCCGCAGAGTATTGCATATGCCTCTCTCGCTAATTTACCAGTTCAGTATGGCCTGTATTCGGGATTTATGGGTTCGTATACCTCAAGCCTTCAAATTATTTTTATCAAGTTGCCCGTTTCTCTAGAGTCTAGAGGACTCATAAAGTGATCTACAGACCAAAGTGCAGTTTAGTATGCTAAACATAAGATCTCAGCCCTGTCCTTTTATGAGAAAGACGATGACGTGAATAAGTTTAAACTTATTGCCTTGCCTTCAATTCGGGGTAAGAACCCACAACGTTTTGCAACCCCATGCATCTGCTGAGGTGGCTATTTTTTATAATGTTTAATGGATATTGCATATTTATTTTTTTGTTATCAAGAAATATCGCTTTAATAGATTTTTCGTCGTGGCAAAATATGCTATTGAAATTAGATAATAAATTGTTAAGAGAGTCGGAAGATGTTTAATTTCTCTTTATCTCACCAGGTACGATCCTATACATGTTCCTGGGTACTGTAAAAGAGGTATCTATTGGTCCGACTAGTTTGATGGCGCTGATGACTCTACAAACGTGTCGAGACCTGCCCATAGATTTTGTGGTACTCCTGGCATTCCTTTCAGGGTGTGTCGTGTTTGTTATGGGATTGCTTCGGCTCGGTAAGAAATGAAATTTGTATAAACAGCGACATGATAGGATTGTTATTTTCTTAAACAAAATTTGTAGATTTATTGCATGTTTGGTCCTTGATGTTGCATGATAAAAATATTTTCGTGTTCACCAAAAAATTAGTAAACAAAGAAAGAGATAATGGACATATAATTATGTCGTTGTCCAAAAATGTCTATAAGACTGGCATCTGTAGATATACAACAACACATACACTACTGAGGTTTGTATAGAAAGTTCTAGGAATGAATCAATTACAGGATTCCTGGTAGACCTTATATCCCCATCAGTGACGAGTGGGTTCACATCGGCAACTGCTGTGACAATAATCGTGTCCCAGTTGAAAGGCATGCTGGGACTCAGTTTCATTGCTGAAACTGTGATGGAGAATCTCGCTTTGATATCAGAAAATTGGAGTAAAATTCGCTTTAATGACTGCGCTTTGAGCGCTGCGTGTTGTATATTTCTGCTATCGTTACGGGTAATTAAAATTAATTATAACATATAGATCGTAAACATAACATTACATCTGTTAAACTACTAAAGGAGTCATTTAGTATGAAAAGCTCATTATATTAAAAGGTTTTTTCTTATAACAAATTCGTCAGTGTTTAAATAAAACACTTTAACGGTTTAAAACTAAAAATATATAAGTTAAACTTATTTAAAAATTATTTTAACTATCGTCCGACGTTTCGGATGCTTTAATAAGTTAAAATGATTTGTAAATAAATAAACTAATAAGACGGTGCGGGTAGCACCAAATGCTAGTTAAGTTTATAATGAAATTCATATATTTTGCATTGGGATTTGAACCGTTACAATTTTGTTTTTTATTAATTAATTTATAAATTATTGCAGAAACTCAAAGATATCCAGGTGAATGCCAAGAGGGTTAAGAAAACTCTATGGTTGATATCGATAGCACGAAATGCTCTCGTAGTGTGTATAACTTCCACCATCGCCTACTGTACTTATAATCCTGAACAACCCCTTTTCAAATTATCAGGTAAATTCGAAGTTATTTAGTATGTATATTATCAAAATGACAAATAGATGCTTGGTTGTACTTGGTAATCTTGGGATGTACAGATTTTTAAAAACATTCTTGCGTCATAATTTTTACATCAACCAATTCAACCAGTAACAAAAAAGCATGATAATTTTCATATATATCTTTGTTTTTCGGGCTGTTCGGCCGAAGTGAGCGAGAAGAGATTCTCGACGTTTCGCCATCAAGTGTGGACGGCATCATCATTCTTCATTCTTCGAGCAATCGAGGAGTTAACATCTCATCGACCTACTTAATAAAGTAGAAAAAAATTTGATTCTCATTAGTAACTTATTTTATAGGTCGCGTGGAACCAGGTCTACCTAAACTGAGTTTTCCGCCGTTCAGTACGATAATGGGTAACCAGACTGTTGGCTTCGTGGGGATGTTGGATCAACTAGGATCTGCTGTTATTGTAACGCCCGTTGTAATGGTCCTAGCTAACATAGCAATTGCGAAGGCATTCTGTAAGTTTAATTTTAAAACGATTTTATGTTAACATTGACACTTCATACCCAATACTACTAGAAAATCTATTCCGATATTATAAAACGAACAAAGAAGAGTTTAAATACTCTCTATAGTTTACGCGAGTAGTACACATTTAAATAAAACACTTTAACGGTTTAAATCGCGTTATATTAGTTAAACTCATTTGAAAATGATTTTTAACTTCGGCCCGACGTTTCGGATGCTTTGAAGCAGTCGTGGTCACTGGGAGAGTCCTAAAGTCTTAGTCTAAATTATCGAATAGAAAAAAGCATGTTAGGCTCTGGATTCGAAAGCTACATCAGACCGCTCTTGTACTCCAAAGGGTTTTCAGATTGTGTCGGTTTTAGAATTTTGTTTACTGCTTCATAAAACCGCTACTATAATTTTAACAGGTTTACGATTCATTATAATTACCCTAATCTAAGATTTTACGATGTAATTATACCGCTAATACCTTTATTTATATTTGACGTACATTGATATTCATGCAATGTCTGTGTACATCTTAGTAAGTTGTAATTCACTATTATAAACAAGATTCATCTGAATATAAATATTGAGAAACCGCGACAAATGCCTGACTAAGTATTTCATAAATAATCTTTCATATTCGAATGTAAATTCCTTACTTTCGAATATGAAAGATGAATTTCATCTAAAATCACTTAAACTTAAAATGTGTTGTACTTAATAGACATCATGATGCGTGAATAATACGGTATAATCTATTATGAAGAAAGCTACGGAGAAGTAAACGTTAAAAATGGCGTCGTTATTTGGATAACGTGTAGACGGTACTGTGTATGTATGTACATAGTAACCCATGACATTTATTGATGTTTCTACCGCAGATAGGTCTTAAAAAATAAATCCAACCACCGTCTGCGGTTGTTCTCTGGGGCAAAGACATTTCTGCGTCCATTTCACAGATCAAGTTTACATGATGAGACTTCTGTGCCGTGCTTTACTGTAACTTTTTCCGTGAATTCGAACCCCGGACTAAGGTAATCTAGGCAGCATGTTTGCCCGACATATTACCCTTAACAAACCGAGAACATTATATAACGTAGGTAAAATACTCCGAGTCATGCATCATTAACACATATTCTCATAATATTTTCAGCACCCGGCGGTCGGGTAGACGCTACCCAAGAAATGTTTACATTGGGCTTATGCAATGTAGCGGGCTCTCTTGTTCATGCTATGCCTTCGTGCGGAGCCTTCACCAGATCTGCTGTGTCGCACTCGTCTGGTGTTAGGACGCCCGCAGCTGGACTATATTCAGGTAATGCACAAAATCTATGACTATCAAAATTCAAACAAATAAATAAGCATTTCTTCAAAAGTTATTTTGAACTTCTTCAAAATGTCGGTCAGGGTCGTTAACCAACAAAAGAAACTATAATTCTTTATTAGGGAATGTTATTATTATTAGGTGTAGGGTGGAAACATTTTTGATGTTCATTTTTTTCTAGGGATTATAACGCTGCTGGCATTGAACTTTTTAACGCAGTACTTCTTCTTCATCCCTAAAGCTTGTCTGTCATCCGTACTGATATGTGCCGTCGTTTTCATGGTTGGTATATAATATATACAAACGCATTTCTGTTCTAATCCGTAGACCTTTCAGGTAGTAAAGAATAATGTGATTTAAAATAGTTATTAAATCACTATACTAAGCATAGCATATAACCCTATAATTAATAAATAATATAATCCCTATAAATGAAGTTTTAATTCTTTAGTCTGTGCAACTCTTATATTAAAAATCTATAATACAGCCTATACTATAGCCATTTTTCACGTATTTTATTATTAAACGAGGAGCAATCATTAAAGAAAACAATTTTATTTGTTATCATCTTGATTACTTTCGCGTTTTAAACTGTAAAAAATGTTAATTTCATAACTTAACAAATGCGTAACAATTTCTTCTTGTCTATTATGTATTATGTTATTGTCATATACGAAAACATACATGTGTGGGTTTTTTTCAGGTGGACATAAACATAATATTTAAACTATGGAAGAGCAGTAAACGTGAACTGGTTCTATATAGTCTCACCTTTTTAGCGGGAATATGGAAGAATCTAGAATTATCCATCCTAGTCGGTGCTCTAGCGGGGCTTGGGCTACTTATCAGAGATGTTTTGAGTACTCCAGTTGAAATAACACAAGTTCAGGTACCAAAACCTTTTTTAACTGGATATAGTAGGGTTCATTTAACGATATATTTGGGCGCTCACTATTTTTAGAATAAATCTTGTTTTTATTTATTCTCTTCTTTAATCTCAATAAAATTTATTAAGTACATAAATAATTACTTAATTATTGCTTATTTCATAATCTCATCACTTATAATGTTAACTAGAAGTTAGTGATACATGATTTTTTTTTATTTCTAGACAAACAATGGTGATGTTATCAGAGTTGCAGTCCGTAGAGCTCTAGTCTATGGTAATGCAGAGAGATTTGCTTCACTGGTGCTTAATACTGCTGTTGCTGCACGCTGTCCTGTCCTTATTGAGTGTTCTGCTATTACTCTTTGTGATTATACTGCAACTGAGGTATGTATCGAAAAAACTTAAAGAGTTGTGTTGACTTTGTAACTAAGCCCTCTTTTTAAATTCTTAAATAAACTCCTTAATAAGCTTCAAACTTTTTACTACTAATTGATATAAGCAAAATTATTCCAAAAACTTTAAGCCAATGCCATCTCTTGGTTAGAAAATGAAATAGAACATCATAATGATGTAAAATTAATCTGAAATTTTCATTTTTAGGTCATTTCTCGACTTATAAGCAAATTCAAGGAGAATAATCAGCAATTAATCTTCTACAACGCGTCTGTAGATTCTGTCAAGTGGTTAGAAAGCATAACTGAACTCGATAAACGTGCCTTAGGAATTAATAAAGTCCAAGAGGCCTTGGATGCTGTTGCCAGAAGAAATCTCGAAGCGACATCAGAAACAAGTGCACTTTTAGAAAAGAGAAGCGTAAAACGTGAAGAAATTGTGTAAAAATATAGGAATAATTTTATAAATACATTTAGTACCTGTTTGTTATTTCATTAAAGGAAGTTTTAAACTAGAATATATATTTTTTTAATGTGTGCCAGTAGAACATTGCTATTATTAGTTCTTAAGGAGAAGAAGCAAGATCTTTTGTCAAAGTTATTAGGCGCACTGTGTTGTTGTAATAAACTACATTTTGAATTATACTTATTAATTAAACATGCATATTAAAAATAATAATACTAGCATCAGAACAACAAATATATTAAAAAATTGGCAACATTTAATCCTATTGCAGTGTATACATAGTTTGACATATTCCTGATATTTTGTCAGGTTTTATCATATTTTCGAACTGATACATTTCTGAAAATTACTATTACTCGAAATAATATTTAATTGAAATAAGTACGGTTTTGTAATTAATAATTAAAAATGTAAAAGGAGCCAATCGTAAAGTATTTAATTTTAAATATGTTTGGTCTACATTTTTTTTTTGGTATCTTATATTTCAAGTTTTTTACTAATACTGCCAGAAAATAATATTCCTATGGATAATAATAATATTCAACTTCAGCCACAGACTAAAAATTTTATGGGTATGGCAAATTCATTACAATTGTAATGGCAATACTAAACGAAGGAAAAAATCAGATTCAGTTTTTCGCCGCTCTTGTCGGGCGTCTAACGGGCGTATACATTTATTCATCGTGTATTCTATTATAGAACTGGATAAATGTTAAATATGTAAATCTTGACATAACATATTTGATATAAGTTAAACACTTTTTATTTCAAGTGCCTATATTCAACTTATATCTTTCTATCAATCTCGGACGTGTTTATCAAGTATCGACCCGACCTCTGTTTTTATTTATAGTGCGGGCATATTTGTCTGTTTGTTTTGCAAACAAATAGTTTATCCCGTGATTAAAGGAGAGTGCAGTGATAATGTTGCTTTGAAACGAGTGGGTGCGCCAGACAAAATGTGGCGTGTGCTTTTCTTATGTGCCTTCGTGGGTTCCACCGTGGGGCAGTCCTGGGTAACGAATATAACTGATAATCTTCGAGATGGGCTTTCGAGGGTGTTGGAGTCATCCGTGGTCAACTATACGACACCTGTGATCAACGTTACTTATGTGGCTAGGGTGGAATTCGACATGCGCGCGATGGGACATCTCTATAACTCCAGCCACACTATTATTGACCTGATCGCAAACAAAGAGGCATACCCTGAAGGTAAGAATGGTGATCTACCCATTTAATCCATCAATATATATGACAATGGATCTTAATTGCACTTATGGTAGGTCTTTGTTATCATTCCTGTTAAACAATAACCACTTCCTAAAGACCTATTCAATTTGGTTCTTTGAGCAACTCATTTCAATACATTTTTGTTTTTTAATATGCTATTTTATTTGTTATGTATTTAATACTTTTAAGTATACAATATTTATTATATGAGTAATACATTTTACAATATTATATAATAAATATTGTAAACTGTATATTAGCATAGAATATGCTTTAAAATGTTGTTTTTATCTTATTAAAAGTGTCATTAAACCCTAAACAATTGTATACTAAAAGTAACATACTCACTTATCTTAAATGTACAAGATGTTATCTATTATACAGTCACACTTCTTATTTTTTGGTAATTTTTGACATAACATATTTATAAAACACTATGAAATTCAAGTTTAAATAGGTAGATAACATCGGCTAACTACAGGATTTCAAATAAACATACTAAAATATAACATCATAAGCATATATGATATTGTTTTGAATTTCCATGTGAACAATATCATTGTTGGAATAATAACGGATAAATGTATATAGTAAAGAGAAATAACAACTTATGCTAATGTAATTACTCTCACTCTCTTTGTTTGAGTTGAATGCATTAAACCCTTTAATTATATAACCATTATTTATTTTAAATTTATTATTTCACTGATTCCACATACTAAGTTTTTCCTAATTAATTTGAGAACCACTAAGAAACCTACAGAAACAAACTGAATAATAACACATTTGTAATTTAAATAAATATGTAATATCTGCATTTTATTAATACAAGAGCTGACATTGGAAAAGTATTCAACGGTTAACTCTTCTTAATATCAAAGTGACATGTTTACCTTGAAACAAATTAAAAAGTTATATACCATTAAGTGAATTCTTTGCTAATACCAATGCTTGAAACCACTAGGCAGTAGAAGTAGTGGGTATACTTACAAAAAAAAAATGTTATAAACCCTGTTATCTTTATTGCAGTCAGATATCATTTATGACAAATCAATATACTTCATTTGCTAAGTGCTATGAGCCAAACTTCTCTATTTTTAGTGTTCTTTCTATCATTTTAGTTTGTATGAAAATGTGTCTTCATATATCCATATATTTAATGATTTCAGTTTGATAAAAAATTGTACCATATAATATATTATGGGTTTAAAATAAACTGGGTATAAATAATTAATGGAGTGCGATATTCTTGTGTAATTTATTGTCTGAAAAGGACCTAAGTCGAAACGCATTGTGCGTCTGCTATAAGTTATAAGAATCGCGGACATCGACCTTGCACGCAACAGCTTGCATGTTAAGTTATAACCCTGCAAATGTTAACGACAATACGTTTAATCTTTGACGGGCTTGTTGGTTTAATTAAATGGTTGATAGGAATATTGAAATTCCGTCCGGGTCGCGAACCGTCTACAGATGAAAAAGATATGAAAAGAGTCTGTGGTCTCCGAATATCCAAAGCCAATAGGTCGACAACACATCTTATTTAGATAGTTGTATGGCTTGGGCGTTTCGCTTCCCATCAAGTGAACCCCATACTCGTCTGTCCTCTATAAAAAAAAGTCACGCGTGTTAAGACTACTACAGATCCATGCAAGACTCAGTTCATTCTAGACCAATAGATTCCAATAATGAAACTCGTAAAGAATATAAATATAGTAGATACTTATGCTATAGAAGGTTCATGAATATAAAATTAAACTCCATAGTGGGTGTTATTATAGTTTTTTATTTCCTTGTAGGCGTAAAAGGAATAGCTCCCCGTCTACGTCTTCGCTTAAACATTAGTTTTTGTACCACAGATCGATACAACTTGTTTTTCTATATTGGTATTTCCTTCATCACGGCCTATCCAAAATTATAAATACTTTTGCTAATATCCAGTTCAACTAGGGTTATTGTAGTAGTATATGCTGCGTGAATCTGTAACTAGTTGCAAACCGCAAAATCCATGCAGTAAGTAAGTATTTACATACTAGGAAATAATAATTATGTTGGACTTATGAAAATCTGGATATTTAACGGGTAGTAGAGGCATATCGAAAAAGCCATCATGTATAATCGCGTTTCGATTTCACTCTGTGGATTTCGGAATATCCAAAGTCGATATACCCAGGTCGATAAGGCATCTTGTTTAAATATTTTATGGCTGGAGTATTTCACCTACCATCAATGACACGTTTACACAATTTTATTAAATGGACAGACAAACGATTTATATGTATTTATCCGTACATAAATCAAGAGCCTGTGACCAGAAGCGTTGTGCGTTGAACCCGTTCGCGTCGGTTTCACCCGGTAACCACTCCCGCGGAGATACTCGTTTTTTATTGTTCGCGTTAATTATCCCGCTACGATTCATCCCGCCATAAACCTTCCAAATGAAAGCATTACAAAGGCAATGTCCCAAATATGCAACAAAGCCTCGCGTATTAAAACCAGAAATGTGCACAGCGATTGTCCCAGTTCCCCCATTGTAGCTGTTGTGTTACTCTACATGAGGTCGAGTGCATTTTACATATATGGCATATAATTGAATTTTATATTCATGTTTTGTCGAATAATAATTCTATTTAGGTCTTTTTTAATGTAAGTTGCTAGAACAGTATTTACACGAATATTATAAATCTGAAAGTTTGTTCGTTTGAATGCGCCCATCTCGGGGATTACTGCTTCGAATGGATTGTTATTTTTGTGTTGTTTGGACCAAAGCTTTAGGCTTATAAACCATGAGACTACGTCCAAAATAAACGGATAACCAAAGGGAAATATGGATAAAACTATAATATTTCGAGCACATCCGATGCGACCGCTGCGAAAACGGTTCAAGAAACAAAAAAATATGTACTTATGTAATGAATTATTCTTCATTAAACGATCTACAAAGATGTCCGCGATATTTTATGTCAATATTTTAAAATTTACTCGCAACAACGACGGCCGGGACGACGATGTCAAGCGGAGTTATTATTTACAAAGCTGAGGATATTTTTTGCAAAAATAAATAATGTGATTCCCTAAATAACTATTCCACGCAGACGAAGTCGAACGTACAGTTAATTATAAATAACATATAATTATAATCTATTGAATCCAAGTCTCTATCATCTGCAGAGAATGGTCTTTATCGAACTCTCTCCGTGTCCTCACAAACATTCTTGTTTTTTTTACAATATTGTATTATCTGTTCCGATATTATTTCTGTATGGGTCTAAAAATAATTGTGAAGACTGACATTTACTCCACCTCTGGCGCATGATGAGGTTTCTATCTCAATGCACAATTCAGCCGCAACGTCGCCCACGTATAACGTAGGTTTATTATTTTCGAGATTCTTTGAATCTTTTAACTTTTAAACAAAGTTCTACCTTGACCTTGCTCCAAGCTTTTTGTTTCGACTACAGCTTCTTTTTAATAGAAGTTTTATAAGTCGGCGTTGTATTGTTAGAAAAACAAGCGCTGTAAAAATTTTAATTGGTTGCCAGATTTTTTCAATAACCGTAACGTAAAAAAAGTCGTAAAAATGAGAAAAGATACATTCTTAAATCTGTATCACTAATTTATTAGATTTTTTTATTATTTGTAAGCAAATAGTTAATCATCAAGTTTCCGCACCAGACCGACACTATTATACATATTGTATATGTATACTGAAGAATAAATATTGTATATTTTTCCGGGACTTGAATCCAGAATTGCTTTTGCCAACACATTGCTATATATGCTGCGTTAAACGATTGAAGTTGAGCTATATTAATAAATATTTCTTTCTAATTTTAAACTTCTATTAATTGTTTCTCATTTGAAGTCCAATTTATTCTCATGTTGATATTACTTGTGTTGTTTCACGCCTAGTTTGTAGTAAATGAAAACATTTACCGCTTCTCCATAACAGTAAACTGAGACGTGTTTTGCGTTAAACCTGCTTCTTGTTGTATGAATTGAGGTAAACTTCCGGGATAAAAATCTTATCATTGCAACGAACGGCATATCTTTTCTATTTTATTTGTTTTAAAAATTACTCTCTCTATCTGTCTCTAGCAAGTAAAAAAATATAAGTAGTTATTGGATGAGAGAAATAAATGCTTGATTTAGATTTTAATAAATTTAAAAATTTTAATGACTCTATATTAAGTACGTAGTAAGTAAACTTTTTGTAAATTTCCAAGAAGAACATAAAGTTATAGTTCGTGTGTATATACATGATATACCTACTTATTCTCTCAAGTTTTCATTCAACAATGAAGTGTCTTAGTATATAATAAATACCGTTAAGCCTAAAGCAGGCAACGATTCGCTTTCTTTATATATTATATAATTTTTAAACAATCGCATATTATAAATATTCACGCATTACCACGTAGCGTCATAACAGCATGTCGCAAGTGTGCATTAAAGCTGCGCAGTGGAAGGTCCTAATTCTGCTAAATCGTTCGTAAGAGATCACCTCTGACCGAGTCCCGACAGTGATAAGCCATTATGTTAGGGAATATATATAGACGGGCCATTGTAAATAGCAGAATTGGGTCCCTGCGATACAAGCTCGATCGACCGAATGACTGTTAATTTAGGCCGAGTTTATTGTCGACTAACTCGGTGTCGACATAGCCTACTATTTTATAACGTCTACAATGTAACGAGCATTTGTAATGATGCATTGAACGTTTGAGTCCGTTGACTTTTCGGACGTGACTTATGAATTTTTTTAGCTCGTTTGCCTTGAAATTTAATTAAATGTATCAGTAGTTTTTGTAGTGTTTTATGTGAATTAAACAGTAAGAAAAAGTGATATCCCCTTTGTACGCCATAGGACATAAGAGACATTCTCGTTCCCTTATTATTTATTGATAATAGGAAATGTTTTATGACTAATATTACTCGATATACGGTTTATTAACATATTGATCTATTTTAAGGTTATTAAA